AAATTGCCAGCAAATATATTGTTTACTATGGAATAACCCCTCTGCTCTGTGACGGGCTCGTAATTGCTGTAGTAGTGAACATAGTCATCTGCGACTCGGTCCTCACTTCAAGTAAAGTCTGTAAATGTTAATCCAACAGTCTTCATACACTTGTGGTGGAACATTTCTACGAAGGAAACGCGACTGGTGAAAAATAAACATTTATTATTGTTCTCGTTTTGTTTAACTGTACCAAAAACACTTTCTTGCGCGCAACGTTCTTTTCGCGTTGCTGCCATTTTTCATAACTAGCTGCTCTCTATGTAATGCCTACTTTCTTCATCAATAAATATGCTAACATGGATTTATTTCTGTATTACATGACGGGACAGTATGGAACATCTAGTGGTGATCATAGTAAATCTCGGCTCGGCCACCACTAAAAACTTTCCAAGCCGAACAATATATTATGGTACAGAACAGCAGCAGCACCTAAGCTACCTCTTTTTCATTTGAAACAATAATGGCAAAGACTCTATGCTGTTTCAGTGCATGCTGAAGTGTGAGTAACAACAGTTTTTCCAATGTCTCAAGAAAACACGAAGTTATCCCCATGCATCTTAAGGCTGAATTTTGATCACCAGACACTTTCGTTGGTGTAAGGATATTTACCACCTTGAAGACTATTTTTGATATATAATTAGTTGGGAAATATTTGCTAAAGATGATCGTGCGTAGGTGATAAAAATCGTCCGCACAATTATTAAAGAGGTTTCGGGATTTCGTCGGGTCCATACACTGGGGTGAGTTTAAATACTGAAGAAGTTGTTGGACATTGTTTTCAGTGAAATTGAAGCACTTGTAAAGCATTGCATCAGATTATCTAAATCCAAACGACCTATTCAGGTAACCAAAATTCACTTTAGTATTATCACTAATGCATCTACCACCAGAAGGCATTTTACCTAGTTTCCGGATATTTGAAGATTTTTTTATAATATAGAAGTTTCTGAGTTAACATTTGTTACGAATGCACCTAAACAAATCATTCTGATATGATTGAATAATTACGAGTTCACCCTAGTCAGTAAACTAGAGCGAGGATGGATGATCCGGGGACACGGCAGGCTACTCCAATCCGAGCGTCCAGAAGAATAGTTGATAAAAAATAGAACGTGTATCCTACAGGCACCCAGAAAGTACAGGGCTGAGTCCGGAAGAGGATGAGGATCCCGGAATAAGGATCAGGATCATAAGACGTTACAGATAATGCATATTTATACAATCAGGTCGAATAGGAAACAACACTAAAGTATGTGAAATTGATAGTTAGGATGACCAATAGGAATCGACCAATAGAATTAGACTTACAAATAATAATCTTAGGATATTTGATGAATATTTTAACAACATTAAATTCAAGCCTTCGATTTCTTGATTTTTAAGATCACTTAGCTTTTGAGATATAACAGTTTTTCTCCTCAAATATCCCTTCTTTCTCTCTCCATAATTGTTCAAGTTGTGAGGATGCAAGTCTGTCGAGGCTCAGTCAGTTACAATCAGACTATAAGCAATAAAGTAAGTTTTAAGCTAACGCGCGCCAATAACAACACTGTTATTCAATGATTCATTTTGTCGTACGGAAATTTTTTTAGATTTAGGATATTTTCTCCTGAGTGGTTCTTGTGCTTAGACTCCTTTTTCTGAAGTTAAATCGTATTTCTTACAAGCTTTAGGAAGAACACGAATACAATGATCAGAACCAAACGACTGAGTTTGTTTAAATGTCACATATTCCTACATCGATAATGAAGAAAAGGTCTGAATATGCATCAGAATGAATAAGAATATGGACTACACTATGATGGCATGCAGATGAAAGATCGCTGCAATCATATGAATTAAAATTGCTAGATAGAGTTAACTGTGAACCAATGAAGGCATTAGGAACTTAAACTACGAAATCATCAACAAAAACCGAAGGCCCTCCACTCTACGAACCACGGCTCAATCATGCTTAGCATGCTTGTAAACGAACTAGTCAGGAGGTACGAAAACAAACCATAGCTTAGCTACAATAGTCAAAATACTCTTTCGTGAGACAGCGTCTTCTGAAACCCCCATGGCCACAGTATAAGATCACTGGCAAACAGTGAGGGATATCATTCAGAATGCTGCCCGACACAATATATCTCAGGCAAATCACACACCCGGAAGGGAAAGCCGGTTAGGCAAAGCAGTGGACGCTGGCTACAGGAGAATAGGGGAGCCTGGCAAAAGTGAAAGATCCCTGTGAAAAAAAAGGCCGTAGTTCTTACTTCTTACTGAGGAATAGATACAATGCCGACGTTCGAAGCGATAGGACACACCTTCGAACGAAACAAGCTGCCAAAATACAGGCAAGCCCTAAATATTTGTTTGGATTCATATTTAAAAGAAAACCTACAAGGCAGGGAGATTGTGCTTTCAAATTTCCAAATGATGAAGAACGTAACAATCTAGAAATGTTGTAGAATATTAACACCAACTTTGCTGATCAGTTAGATACGTACGATTCCAGAGTTCTACTCAAACCGAATGCTGGCTGATGGCATAGAGAATGTCCGACTTACTCCTTACTTAGTGCTAAGAAAACTTAAATGCTTGCACCCAGGAAAATCACCAGAATGTGACCACATTCGCCCTGTAGTCTTGGAAGTGTGTGGAAGCCTTCAGTTCAGTGATAAGTAACCTGTCAAGGCAATCACTAGGGTCACACGAATTCTCTAAAGAATCGGAACAAGCTACTTTCTCCCCGATCTTCAAAGAAGGAGATAAGAAGGATCCAGCCTGTTCCAAACCAGTCTCATTACTGCAAATACTCTAAGGTGATGGAAGGACTGGCGAGTGAGCAAATGATGGAGTACATGGATAAGAAAAACTCCCTCCATGAAACTCAAAACGGGTTTAGGAAGAGCAGGTTTTATGCATTTAATCATCTCATAGCATGGGATAGCTGTACAACCTGATGTGACCAAAAAGAACCTGTTCATATAATATTCTTTGACTTCGCAAAAGCTTTGCTCACAATACCGCACATACTCCTAATTGCACAGGCTATGAAGATAGGCTTCCATTTTGGCTACCTTGAGAACAGAAAGTTTCGTACCAAGGTAAATAGAGTTTATGCGGGTCGCAACACCAGTAGTTTTACAGAGGACCTTCTTAGGTCCACTTCTCTTCCGATATTTTGTTAGATGCAGTAGCTCAGCAGCATCAATCTATGCAGATACTGAAAAAATCCATAAAAAGTAAAGACGGTTCAGCTGAGCTTCAAAATAACCTTACGGCAAATGAGGAATGGGTAGTAGACAACCGGTTAGAACATAACTAGTCGAAAGGTTGTCATGAACATTCTGCCCCATGCAACACAGGCAACTTAAGTCCTCAAAAAAAGTCTCCTCAAAGCACGATCTCGGTCTAATAACCGTAAAACGTCTAAGCACTAGCTCAAACTACATAGCAAATTCAGATGCTAACGCAACTCCACAAGTGGTGCGATCACCCTAGAATTGTCCTTAACTCACTTTAAAAGATGCTCATGTCGTCGCACGCCGCTTCCTGGATCGAGTGCAGAGATGTACAGTTAAATCGGAGGTAGGGTTGTAGAATAGACTTTAAGAAGACAAAATCCAACACCTAGGCTGATTCCCTCTAAGTTATAGGGGAATCAGAGGTGATTTGATAATAGCTAGTAAAATTGCATATCAAAGGACAAACACTTTCTGGATAGTTGTCCCAGGTTGGAATGCTTCCCCAGACGAAGTGACCAAAAAACCCTCAGTGGATAGCTTCAAGAAGATACTTGATAAACACGTATTCACATACTGTTTATCATCTCGCTCTTCAACCAGCTGTGCCTGATACAGGTTGTTAGTTTTCGTTTCGCCAGTAACTTATTATCTTCGGCCTGGCTATGTGATAGATGCTGGTATCCATAAACCCTAATGCTCTGAGACAAACGCGCTCATGCAAACCACAGGACATACAAATCCATAAATAACTGCTAACTGACTAGAACTAGCGCAGTAAAGTGGCTAGACTACCAACCACTGGACATTACCAAATACCTGGAATCGTACCGAAAGAACAAAAATCGAGTGCAAATAAATCAATTGGTTTATACTAGCTCGTTAAAGAGATATTGGAAGCTGAGGAGATACTGTTGAGTGAGACTGGGTAGGGTTTATTCGGTATGGTTTCGTCCATCACGCCTACCAATTGTAATCATTTTGAAAAATACTGGGGCACTTGCACTCCATTTTGTCAGTCATACGGAGAAACGAAAGCGGATTGAGAGTTCAAAGAGGTACCCGATTCCAAATAAGATTAAGTGGCTGATCAAGCACTTTCCAATGTCCATGAATGTGAAGGTCTGTTTTCTCGAATATTACATAAAGAACTATGATTCTATCTTGATTAACATAAAACATGAGATGCTATAATAACGAAGAGATGGACTTTTAACTAATCGATATTTAAACCACGACCTATTATTACATACTGATACCTAAACTACAATCTAATATTACTCACTAAAATTTAGATGGAAATGATCTACATTCTACTACGCAAGTTCATCGCGACTACCCGCAACGGTTATATTTGTACCAGTATAATTATCAACTACTACTCCTTTAGTATAATAGGAAGATCGTGTTTACCATTCCAATAACGACCTTATGGAGAAGTATTTTTTGAGAACAGTATGACGTTCTAGAGAATATCTTCAGTGTCGAATTTGGTTTAGCTGTGATTATTCGATATCGTTACTAACCTCGTTATTACGAATTGAATTCTACAACAATTTGATTATAAAACTAAGCGATTTTTTTACAGTAAAAATTATGCTACAGGCAATTAGTCAAGCTCACAGGAGTAATTTAAGTTACAAACCGATTCTAACCCCAAATTAAAAAACTCATCTTTCAAAATGACTTGTGACGTGAAAACATTCGTATTTAAAATTCAGAATGAAAGTCTGTCTATCAAGAACTTATTTATTCGCAGACGAAATATTAATTTATAGCACAATAGCTGAAGTAAGTCTCTCGTAGAAATACAACATCTCCATTCAAGAAACACTAAATCCACAAAATAATATATACAAAACAATTACAATTATTGTACCATGTGTCCGAACACCAATTTAAAATCAGACAACAGAATATTACTTGATAGTTTGACGGTGTTCAGGTATACTGCTATGAAATAGTAGATCTTCCCCAGAAACACATAATCGATCCAAATCTATTACAGATCTAAAAAAGTGACTATCGGTTAAATATTCTACCTAGACAAAGTGAAGTTTGACACAATACATAATAATAATAATAATAATAATAATAATAAACATAGACTAGTTAAAACAAGTGTATTTTGTGGCTTTATATAATATTAGATACAAACCTAATTAGTTTGTCAATTTACTTATAACCGACCAACGTATGCAACATGGTAGCTAAGCTAAACGACATAATTGTTCAATACCGAAAAACTCCTTGGGATAGTTCTGGTTATCCTACACTTTTAGGAACTTTCAAATTTATGCATAAGAAATTTAAAGATATACTAGGACATTTTTGATCACCAAACCATTAGTAATGACAGTAACAATGACTTAGTTCAGTATTTTAGTTTGACGATTACTTTCGGTGAAGCTTTATTTATTTGTCGATTACACTTTCTACCCAGGTGAATCATTCCCGAGTAGAATACTCAAAAATTCTAAAATTTATGTTAGGCCACCTGTAAAACAATTCTCGGTTATTAGGATCACTTTAAGTAGACTGATGAAAAACTTGTTTCTGACAGTTTATATGTTGAAGATAACAGTTATGTACCTGAAACAAGGAATATAATCATTTTATTTAGCCTGTATCAAACCAAAGAGTATTGCGATTGGTTTAGAATAAACATAATGAGATGTTCAGCTAAATCACTAGGAGCTGTAAATTGTTTAGTATTCTCTTCTAACGGAAATACCTCATATGTAGCGAACAAATAGATCTATAAATCATAAAGATTAACGATCACTAAGTACCAAAGGTAATATAAAAGCACCTATAATCAGACTATATAGATAATAATCATTGAAAGCTGTGCTTACTCAGCCTCAAAATATTTCGATACAGATGGCTTACGTAGACCACCACCATCCTTTGATAAAAACGGTGTGACTGTTTTCATAATGGTTACATCAGTTGATTCATCAGCAGAGAGATAATTATCATTTGTACTATCAACATTTACAAACTGGAATTTTCTAAAAATGTGCAAAATTAATATGACCACACATAAAAATATATAAGGGCTACCTGTCAAGCTTTTTTTCCCAAGATAGTAGTTTTAGTGATTTTTCCTTTTTACATTTCATCTCAGTTCTATAGTGCCAAGTAGATATTTTCCGTTATCTTTAATCGCATAGAAATTTGTCCAGTTTATACAAAATGTTTATCTGACAAATCAGAAAGAGAAGGCCAATAGATATGAGACGGTAAACACAAACTAGCTTCACGAAATTATTAATTTCTTTGTTAGAAAAATACTGAAAACAAGTTAGTTTCGGGTAATAAACAAAAGTTTAATAACAAATCTGGTCCAGTACACAATTCACTAAACATCCAACAATTTGAATATGGGTACTACGTTTTCTTACATATGTGAAACAAATAGCCGACAGAAATGGTACCTATGTGGTTTAACACTTTCTTACTGATTCACCCGTTAATCAATCTAAATTATAACATTCTTTTTACAACTAATAAAAATACATATGATCAGTCTAAACTAGATGAAAACATTCCATAGGATAACATCAAGATTGATCGTTTGAACAGTATAGGAAGATACCGTGAAAAGTACTAGTGAAGAAATAATCTTATCTCCATATTATTCGAATATCAAAACTGACTTGGAATTACCCATATTTGTGTTAGGTACTACGATGATGATGGCTGAGTAAGTTCAGAAAGAAAATGGATTCAGAGTTAAATCGAGGTGAAGCAAAATAAACAAAAGAAATACCTTGTAAACCAATATCAAATTTCACAGTGAGTGATAATACCACAAAAAATACTTATTTTCTTGTATTTCTATGAGATTACTTGCTATAAACTCCACAATTCCCTAAAAATACGTAAATTAGCACGAAATACCGACGATAATTTAATAAATAAGAATGTTGTTTTGCAAACAGTAGCCTGGTTTTTAAATTTGTGAATCACTTGAAATTGAGATCCTTCAAAAACACCTAACCACGACATGTTTTCAATGATAAACGAGCCATATGAGTAATAGGTCACGTCATCGAACGCATTACTTCATCTATCTGCATTAATCTAGTACTAATTCTTTTTTGTTCGTAAAATTACTACTAGATTAATGCAGATAGATGAAGTAATGCGCTCGATGACGTGACCTATTACTCATATGGCTCGTTTATCATTGAAACAATAAAGACTAGTAACCTACGAACGTTAAGAGTAGAGGACATTCGTAGGTTACTAGGGGCGGCCAGACCAAAACATGGCACAAATCCATGAAGTCACTGACTAGTAGACTGAGTCATGTTGGTAGATGTAGACTACCTGGTTGGGGTCCGCGAGACGAAAGTCACCAATGGTTAGAGACCTTGAACGACATAGCTCAAAACCGTTTGCAATGGCGCAAGTGCATCCATTCGCTGTGCTCTCTCAAATCCTAATCTTCTGGATTCGTCAGCACTTCTACCTTTGTCTTTCTAACCTTATCTCACTGAATTATACTTCTTGAATAATATCTTCAAACCCTAGTCTTCTTCATTACCATTAATACCTCTACTATCTTTATCACTATGGGATTTGATTTGACATTTGCGTCTCTATGCTGACGCGGTACGGCAACCTGAACTGATGTACTTATGTACGAAGTTCTGCGTTGTATCTGTCTGTCTGTCTATCTACGAACAAAGAAATACTAACAAATAGTTTTAACAAACTGCGAAACTTTTCTCCACTTTAATGTACACTGAAATCAACATAACACTGGTTAGACCATCAGTCATTATCATTGTAAAACCTATCACAAACGGCATCTTTGCAAGTTTCCAAACCTACTCAGCACAATCAGGTGGAAATCAAAGTAACAAAATAAGTAGGCATAAAAACGACTCGAGAAGGATAAATTCGTTAAATATAAACTATAGACTAATCTTAAAAATCAGGATTTATGAGTAGGCAAATAGTGAATCCGTTTACATTATTACGATCGATTCTGAGCTGTGTAATCTGAAGTTTCTAATTATCGGTCACGATAACTACACGGACTTAAAGCAGTTGTTAAGGATCCACTAACAAAAGCCAGGTCAGAAGCTGTAGTGAGGTACTACATTTCCGTCTGGCTTTTCCTAGATTTATCCCAACCTACCGGATCAGTATCGTCCGTCGAAATACGAGAATGGATAGCCTAAAAATGATGGAGTCGTTCCGAAATTCATGTCATTTTTTTCCTTTAGCCAAGGATCAAGAAGTAAATTAACAAAGTCCCATACTAGGACGAAACGGCCGTCCAGTGCTTCCAGGTTTCTAATGGTGGTCTAACAATGATGATTGATTAATGATTTCAAATGTGTAAAAACGTCATTGCGAAATCTGATTGTAACACATCTGAAGTAATCAAACGTTTAAAATAATGGATTATCTCTCATCGAGATTGTAGCATTTTTGATCAGAAGCTTTTCGTGAAGCTTACTGTTTTTATTCTGGAACAAGATGGACTCATTGATATGATGAGTGTCTGGATGTTTCAATTAAATATTTGTCTGGGCTGTGCACATCTTAGGCGCCTAAAAACAGTTTTAAGTATCCTCAGTATAGCTAATAGCTTCTCCTTACACTAAACTGTTTTGTATGGCCAACTTAGCAGTAGTTATTCATTCTCATGTTAACTACTGGACTCGAAAGTTATTTGAGATTATGTGGAATACATATTACTAAAGTAAGAAACTGAAGTAAGCAAAGTATTTTACATAGCGTTTAGGAGTGAATAACTTGCACAGCAATGAACTAGTAACAAACTTTTCTATAATAACAGGACAAGTCACAATCCGAATCGTACAAATACCTTTGATATTGAATTCATTCTATACAGAAATTAACTTTTTAAAAAAATTCAATTAACTTAGACTACAGGACACGTCGTAGGCTTATTCACTTACATAGTTGATTTTGGTTCGCAGATTGTCTTGAAGTTATTTCACCGACCTTTCATTGAATTTTGAAAAACTACAGAAAATTTTTTACAACCTAATAAAATCCATTGGTCCTATCTCACATAAATGAGATTTCCTAGTAATTAACATGATTAAGAACCTTAAAAGTTTTATATACTACACAAAACCATTCTTTCGTCATTGAATTCTTGATTTTGACAGTCAGCGTGCTTACTGGTTTATATGAGGAATGGAAATTTCAATGACACACAAGCTCAGTGAAGACGCTGACAAAATGCAGACTTTTGACCGCCTTGAGTAATAACGCAGGAATTTCTATGATACCATCCTCCTCTTTCCATTGTAGAGAGTTGCTTAAGAATTAGCCGGTGTCAGCGCCTGAACCAATTATAAAAAGTGAAGTCATTCAGAATATCAACTGCTTCACTGATATTAGAAGCCTTATCAGTTCTTATGGTCTGGTATCTGAGGAAATCTCTGCACAGATTTAGGAAGCTCCATAATTTTTGTTAACTTTGGCATAGGCGAGATGTCCATTTGCCGAAGGACGAGTTTGTTGAGCAGTAGTTCTATCCGTTCTGCCTCAGGCATGTGAAACATGACCATTCAGAATAGGATATTGACAAGTGACAAATATTTGATTATACTTGTCTTTGAAGGATCGCTCATATGTTTTTGGATCACCGAGGAAACAACCCCTGGGTCAGGGTATTCGGTAAGGATGGCAAATCGAATGATAATGTGGTAAATATTCATCAGTTGAGGTGGTTGGTTGGAACATCGGTTACGTATGCCCAAGGACTGCTTACCTTGACGACCGTCGTCTCCTGGCACAAGAGCAGGCTGAAAGGAAGCTAGGGAGGTCAAACCAAAGCATGAAATCAGTCTACTAAGTATTAGCGTTCAGTACCACGATGTACTTATATGGTTCATTCAAGCCTATGGACAGACTTAAATAACTCGGACAGCCAGACTATTTGGTCACTGATCATCTTATTAACTTCATTCCTTTAGTAAATTTACGTCTTTTATTCGTGTGCGTGTAATTCTACACTCTGAATGTCTGTCACTCACTATTTTATCAAATGTTTGTATCTTCGTTACACTAGAAACTATCTATTTTCAGAAGTAATTATTGCTTGTAATGAGGACGGTAGAAGAGTTGGCACGCCTGTTTTTCCACTTCGTTTCGTTTTCTTGCTTCTAACTTTTAATGACTAGTCGGGTAAACGATCACATCAAATAAATTCATCCTAATGAATCCATCTGTCTTTTTATGACCGCCATCGCACAAACGGGGTTAGCCTAAGTGTAATGTAGGGGACTAAATTGAAGATTTATTTACATAGCAGATTCAATCGTCCGTCTACGCTGGGCCACCAAAGTCGTCGGTAATTGTACAGAACTACGTACAAAGGTGTAGACTACTTGGTTAGTTTATGTGAAAATATAAATCACTAGTTACAGACTTCGAACGACATCAGCCCAGTTGCAACATAAAACTCGGTACGTACGCACATCAGTTCAGTTTGCCATACCACATAACAACTTTGGATGACAAGGTTCAAAACCGTTCATAATGGCGCTGGTGCATCCATTTTCATCCTCCAGATTCAGTCTTTGGATTTTTACTTCACTACCTTATATTTCCTAGTCTTCAGTTCGATTCCTAGACTGTTATATTACGGCCAACACTTTGATCAATTTTTCTAATCTGTGATTCACTCTGACAATTTTATCTCACTGTGTTAACGGCGGATGGCAGCTTGAACTGTTGTACATATGTACCAGCTTCTACAATGCGACTGACCATGCAAACTTTTCTGATAGACTCCTAGATTTGCATTCTTATTTTTATATAAAGCTAAGTCATGAGCTCCTTAACAGTTAATAAGACTATGCTGTTATACACAGAAATCCGAAATATATGATCTAACCTTAGTATAACCGTTAGTTGGTCTAATATTATTTATGTAAAGCTAAACCATACACTTGAGCTTTCGTCGCATTGTCTACAGATAAACGTTGGGTAACAATTACTGGTGGACAGAGAGTATACAAATATAGAGAGAGAAAAGTGAGAGAGATATATGGCCCGCACCATTTACCATGTCCAGCATACGAATACGAAGGAACAATCAAAAGTGAAGGGTATGATATTAAGAAACATTCGACAGGTAAGGACAAGTGAGAATTATAGATATACGGGAATTATCAAGTGGGAAAGTAAGATATATCGAATTCAGAAGCACAACAGAATACTGAGCTTTGGAGTTATTTCTTCACTTTTAACAAACACTCCTTTTATTTAAATCTGCTTGTTTCCATAGCGAATTTGGAAAAATTTTTGACATATGCATAGACTCATATTTTTATTCGTGTACTCCAGTTACTGAACCCTACGTGTTCTCATTTTTATAGTTATAACACGTCACTTAATAATAAGGTTATCTGAATCTAAACAATGTACCAAACTATCATAAAAATGATAAATAAGCTCACCTTTGAGGAATTTAAGAGTTCTAGAAAGCGGAACTAGAAGCATATAGTGTGAGTTACTTGGACCGCTACAGGACAACTGGTGAGCGAAATGTAGCGTCACAATTAAATCCTACTCCTATCCACAGTTTCAGTCAGAAAGAGAGTAGGTCGACATGTGTTAATCCCTTCAGATTGCTTTCTAGTGAAGATCCGTTTTCCCTATTGCAGTTTTCACCTATGGGGCTCACCTCATTTACTGAAGTAGGGCTTTACAAGTCAGTAACCACTCAATATGATAAATGAAATCCCAATCTGGTTTTATTCGATCACGGATTTTGAAACTCCTTACAGTGGTCTCAGAGAAGATTAGTTTCATAGGGGGTGAAAAGATAGAGCATGTTACCACCGAAATGCCGATGTGAGTTTACCACGCGTTCTGTGGTAAGATAATTAGAAAAGGTATTTAAATCACTAATCACTGCGAATCAACAACCATGGACTACGTGGATAATTTCAAGTAAAACAGCTCTTCATAAGAACCTATATGGGTAACAAGAGTGATTTCATCCAAGGTAAATATCCAGATCTCATTATGCAGTTGGTGTATAAACTCGGTAAAACATTAATAAAGTTGAATGACAGCCACGAACTATTACAAATCGGTTGCAGCTAAGAAATATGACATGCTGGATCTCAAACCAAAGCTCGAATTATTGCTATACACACTGGGAAATCTAAGAGTTATGACATTGCATCCTTCGGTCGTCTCTTGTGTTGTCTAGTTGAACTACTAGATACAATTATGCCGATACAAATGCGGTTAGTAATGTACTAATACAGGTATGCATTTCGCCTATGGACCGAAAATCCTTTTTTTTATTTGTTTTTTTCAATGCTACCATTATACCTCCGATTGTAATTTTTCCTACATTTTACGTTGATTGATCGTTAACACTTTATACACGCTCCTGAATAGACTGTGCAAATTTACAACATATTTGCCGTTAAAACAAATTGTAGATGATGGCTTGTTCAGATAACTAGATGGTAGAAAGAACAGGTAGCTGAGAAAATGAAACGGATGAATTTTGGCATAGACTTCTATCTCTTCCATCCTCGTATCTAGCTTCATATTAAACATGTATGGATTCTTTAATTAATCGATTGTATATATTTGACTATTACATATCTTAGGGACAATGTTTCAGCACGATTGAACGACACCTGCTTTCGGATGTGTCATAAAACAAAGTTTTCCTACCTGCTTCCCTTTTTTCGACCCTCATTTTCAGGGTTGTTGATAAGACCTCCCATCGAAGATCACTTTCTTCTTTCCGATACTCAGTGGGATTCCAAAGGACGATTTCTTGGAAACCGTTCAGTAAAGTTAAACGCGACGAAGTAACTAGATCGTTTACCCGCAATTATTTTAAATATGAAGATCTAGCCCAGCTGTCGAAAGTTGAGGCTTACGGTTGGTGAACAGAGTGCTAATGTGGTATGGCAACATGAACTTATGTACATACGTACAAAGTTCTACGTTGCAACTGACTGACTGAACGGAGTGTAATCTCGGCCTGCCATAGAGTCCAAAGAGTGCTATACATCGTGATGCATAGCTAAATCTCGATTCATTATCTTGTAAACATTTGGAGAAAAAGGTTGCCAGGAGTTTTTTGCCCACTTTTGTGAGAGTTCTTGAACTGCTGAGTCGGGTGCATCTACCGTGCTACTCATAAGTACTTTCATATCAAGGTGTGACGGTATGGTTCCGTTAGCGATATATGCCTTCAGTATGAAAAATGTTTTCTTTACAGTGTCATCAAACGTTCCACATTTCCACGAAAATGATCTTTAAGTAGTAAAATAAAAGATGCGCAATTTGGTGTGAAATTCATCGGCCTATTGGATATGCACAGTTTATTGATTGTAGTTAATTACGGATAATTCAAAATAGTCGCGGCCTTATTTACTGGACGATGAATAAGACGATCATCAGCTATTTACCAGTGGTAGTTATGAAACTTAAGAATAACAAGTGGGTGTATCACATATCGACAATTTCGTTCTAGATAGACTAGAGCTTTCCCTTAACAGAGTAAGTATCATAACTGATGGTTTTTATGATCACCAAAAACCGGTGATCAAATACTGCCACTTCATTAGCAGTATTAATTTTGAATCAAAGAAAGCTACTTTGACCTATTGGAAAAGATTAGATAAAAAGGCTACTGTCTAAAGATTGTTGGTCACTGACCTCTCACACATTTCTCTCATTGAGACGTGCTTAAATTTGATATTAAACGCTTGACAACCGATTATATATACTAGGTCAAGTAAGGTTTTTTAAGCAGTTTGAGGTTCATAAATATCGCTAGCGAATATAGAAGGTTTTATACATCCAATAAACCCGGGCCTTATCGGGTTCACTACAGCAAGGAATTGTCAAAGTTTGTCAGACACATCGTGCTCGTGGAAGCTAAACATTGCATGATAGAACCAAGCTTCAATACAGCCCGGTTATAATGGCATTAGTTACAAGGTTACGGTCTGCAGTTAATTAACAGACAGTTAGACCTACTAAATTACTTTAAATGTACCGAGATGTATGATGGACAAGTTTGTAGTCCCAAGTGAAACTAATACTTATCTGGGGAATAATCTATTAGAATTTTATGTATTTACTCATTACTGATTTTTGCGCATTATTCTAGGTCTGCTTCGGATTCCAATTACAATACGTCCGACGTGATCTCATAGTTATGTTGACCTAAGTAGGGATACATGCGTGATTATTAGAGTATGATTTGGAAAGTGCCATAATTTATCACGAGCGTACTAAACCCGATTACTCATAACTATTGCATAATATCCCGTTTCTCTCAGCAGAGTCCAATTGTCTAACTCCTGAACCACTCAGAAACTCTTCCACAACTACCTAAAAATATTTGGAAGCTTAACATCGGATCCTAATGACAGATCATTGCTGACGGTTGCCCCTTGTTCCTTATACGTAAAAGTCCCGTAAAGTGGCTGCAGCAGGCTGTTACTCAAGTCGTGAAATAGTTCAGTTAGTGTGAGAGGTCTCCTTTCAAGCGAAGAAACTGTCAAGTTTGCACTTAAAGATATTGACATGGAAAGTGATGAGGAGTAGGCCTGGATCTCAGATATGAGTCTAACCACAACGCAGATCATTCACTTTAGAACGAGTATAAATGGACTGAATCCAGCATACAAACGTTAATCAGGAACTCCACCAAAAGGGAGAATACGGAATGGCAGCCAACAGAGTATATTATTTAAAACTGGGTTGTGCGGGCTTCGTACAAAAGGGAAAGCTAATTTACACAAAGTCTTAAACATTCTGAAAATTCAGTTTTCACAGGGCTCGTTCTCCTTCTTCCAGAACATTTGTCCCTGGTCGCCCCGCAATAAAAAGAAAACGGATTAACATTAATAATACCATACACAGTGATTTTAAGACCGCTAAAAATGTACAACGCATTCCAACATCCAATATATCCAATATATTTTTTCACGAGCTAGTACAGTATAAATCTCTTGGATCGAGTGCAGAGACGAGCAACGAAATGGGTGATATGGTTGAAAAATAAACCCTACGACGATAGACTCTAGCTCTTGGGATTATTTCCACTGAGCTACAGGAGAATCAAAGGTGATCTGATTATGGTGTACAACATATTAAATACACCAAACCATCCCAACGTGAGCATCTTACCGATACATCACCACCACTCCCCTCGAGGCAATCCTCGAAAGATTGCACATCAAAGAGCGAAAACTCATGTCCGTGCACACTTTTTCTCACTGCTAGTGGTCGCAACTTGGAATGCTCTCTCAGCTGAGGTGACCACAACCCCCTCAGTGGACTGCTTTAAGAAGAGACTTGATAATCACGTACTCACATACGGACTATCATCTCCCTCTCTGACAAGCTGTTCATGATGCATTTCTTGAGACCTGCTAGCTGTTATCATTGCCATATTCTCAGATCACTTACTTAATCTATCTCGCCTATTCCTCTCCCTTGCTTACAATTCGGTCCTCTCTCACAATCTTCACTACCAATTAATAAACTAAATTCATCTATATATTACTCAGTTCTGAAATTTTATTCATTGCAACTAACTGATCTCCGGTTTGGTAATGTGACGGCTGCTAGTATCCAGAAACCCTACTGCCCTGAAACAAACGTTTCATTCAAATCCCGAGACATACAAACTCACAACCAACTGCCAACTGATTAGAATTAGACAGTCGAGTGGCTAGACCTCCATCCATTGGACATTACCGAACACCTGGAACCGTACCGAAAGAACAAGAATCGAGCGCGAAGAAATCAAATTGGTTTACACTAGCTCGTGAAAAAGGTATTGGATATTAAATATTGGAACCAATTGGTTTCTTTGCGCTCAATTCTTGTTCCTTCGGTACGATCCAAGGTATTCGAAACGTAACTCTAACAACCTCCATTTACGATTGTCAGTTTGACTTCATGCTTGTGTTATTTCTGATTTTTGTCGATTATTATTATTATTAAAATCAAATGCATTCCACGTTCTTACTAAGTCACCGGCTCACTTTTCGTCTTCCAGATAACCACGTGCTGCTCACACCTCTAGTACACAAGGTACCTTCAGGGTACGTTCAAGCTTACCAAAGACTGAAGTTACAAATGTTTACGGACTAGTGACAGTTTACACATGAATCATGGGACTGTTAAGATCACCGTCAATTTCGGCAAAGTAAGAAGTAACTTTACTAATTATTACTTGATGTGTGTTGTCTAAGAATCAAAGTTGTGATATCACACTAAGAATCGCAATTCATTAACTAGCCCAATCATTTTATATTTAATGAGCTGGTTGATTTTCCTCATAGTTGTTCACCTTGTAAATTATTCAAGCTTACAAGCCAATATTTTTAGACCTCGACTTCTAATCATTCCTATAATCACCCGCTTCTCCTTGTAGCTCTTACTAAGAAAAAGTAATAATAGTGGATAATTCATGGGAGGCAGTGGTTTAGTGGTTAACAGCACTCGACAGGTCATCGGCTTGAGTTTCTAGTACAGACATGTACTTGATAAATCTGCTACCTGTTAATGTACTCATCTTTTACTATTAGAGAACGCTTTACTAAGCGTCTTTGAAGACTGTTTCTGTTCATCTTCATCCACATATGAGGCTCCTCATGTCTACAATAGGGTTAGATGTAGGATGTGGATTTTGTACCTAATTATGTGAATGGGTGGTATTTTCTTTAACCCACAGTTAGGTTATGGGACGAGAAATAATACCACATCTTACTGCTAGTTAATTGCCCTAAGTTTACTATTTCTTCAAATGATAATCTTTAGAGAGTGTGTAACTAATGTTTATCATGTTCCTCGCTAAACCTTGCATTTTCTTACCACTTCCTAATCTGGTGTCACAGTCGAGTAATATTCTAAAAGGTACTTATTTAACCACGTCACCGTGACTTGTCAGAAACTAGTTTAGGGTAAGGTGCTGAAAGGAACTAAATTTAGAAATATACATCAACTCTTAATATACTAAATTCTTGACTAGCAGTTTTTAAAAGCTAGGTTTTACTCATGGCCTGCAGTAGTCAGAGATTGTTAGCTTCGCACTAAAGCTTAAGTGATTGATAGGTTATATCTTTTTTGCCTCGATTCATTGTGTTTATCAGTGTAACTGGTGTTTATTTCTCTGAATAAAATTTATTTTGGTTCTCATTATAGAGGATTATTGATCCAAAATACTGCAAAATTTCACAAAACGTACCTATGGGAATAGAAGCTACAGAAAATCTACAGTTTAATGTTAATGATCTCGGTAAGATAAACGTAATCTCATGATTTTGTGCCATTAGTTGTGTTGAAGTCTGTAGTTTGTTGTCATTGTCGGATCTTGCTGAAGTCAAACAGTTATAGAATCATACCAAAAGGGATTGTTTAGAAAAAAAACCTTTGATTTCATAACCCAAGTGTTCACAATCATTTATTTCGTTAGATCACGAAATTCTAATTATTTTCCCGGCTCTTATCAAGAGAACTTACACTCATAGTGGCTTATCAAACATTGCTTTTGTTATAATTCTCTCTTTATAACCACCTAACTATTCCTAATGCTTCGTATTCTCGGACACCAATTCACTCGAGACGTTCTTTCAAGTCAGAATACAGCTGAACAGGAAATAGCTTATATTCCAACAGCAAGGATAGAAAAAAGACAAGAAGCTCAAAACGTTAGTACATTTATAGTTTCTTACACGAGGAGAATCTAGAATGTCCCATCAGTATCGATTAGCGTTGATTGTATGAGAAAGAGCCAACCAACGTGCAACAACACAAGCATACTTTAATCCAATCTGTGTCCCTTTAACAGCCTTATTGTCAATCAATCAGTTACATCGTAGGACCTAGGACGTGCATACATCAGTTCAAGTTGCCATACCACATTAGCTCAGATGCAGGTGTCAATTCAAATCCCTTAGCAGTAGAGAGAATTATTAGCAGTAATCGGAGAGATTAGGGTTCGAAGATATTAGTCAGGAAGTAGAATCCAGTGAAATAAACTTAAAAAGAAAAAGATGAAGGTGATAAGGAATTCAGAAGGTCAGGGTTTAAGAGAAGCCATAGAGTGGATGCACCTGCGCCATTGCAAACGGTTTTGAGCCATGTCATTCACGGTCTCTAACCGTCGATTACTACCATCTCGCGGGCCCAAACCAGGTAGTCGACACCTACCGACATGACTCAGTCCACCTGTCAGTGACTTCATGGATTCGTGCTGTTTTAGTTTGGCCGTCCTTAGCTTTCTCCAAACCTACTCATACACCATAGAAGATTGCTCGTCGAGGTAGTCGGTGGTTGAGCATTCGTAGCACATGTCCCAACCACCTCGACTGATGAAGTTTTACTACTTCATCAATTGATCTGCCATCCCTACCTAGTACTCGTTCCCTAATAACAATATCGCTTACTCGATTGTCCCACAATATACGAGCTATGCTTCGGAGACATCGATGGTCAAATACTAGCAACCTGCGAATATCTTCTACTCTGACTGGCTATGTTTCACAGCCATAAAGTAGGACGGAGTGAACTGCCGCGCAGTAGAATCGTCCTTTGATTAGCAGATGGATATCTCGCCTATGCTATAAATGACGCAAGTCGGCAAAAGCCAATCGAGCCTTCTGTATCCGTGCTGAGTCGAAATAAGTGAAGCGGTCAATACACTCAACTGTTTCACTCCCTATCACTAGTTCAGGTGCCGATGTAAGCCAATTCTGAAGCAATATTTTGCATTTCGAGGCGGAAAACCGCATCCCGAACATGTTTGCATTGCTGCTTAGGTTAGTTCAGAGGATTCTGCATTTTGTCAGCCTCTTCACCAAGTAGGCCTATGTCATCGGCATATTCTAAGTCGGTAAGCGAGTCTCCTGGTAGAAGCTCCACCCCTGGAAAGCCAGATAATGAAAGTGTCTTACCTAAGAGCACGTCAATCAGGGAGTTAAACAAGAATGGAGAAAGTAGACAACCTTGACGGATACCACATGAAGTAATCAATTCTGATGACGGTTTGCCATTAGCTCTCACTCGACCAATGGTGTTCGAGAAGAGATCCTGTATAAGGTTAACGTGCTTCTCTGGTCCACCTTTCCGTGAAAGACACTGTCATAGAACCTCACGATCGACAGTTGAATGCCGCTTTAAGGTCGAGAAATACTACTGTTGTGGTGCGTTTGAACAACGAAGAGGCAACGGAGAGTTTCCCTATCTTTACGAGTCCTGACTGTCGCGTTTTGGTTGGACAGTGCATAAGCAACTGTTTACCGGAATCCAACCTAAGAGAGCTAGTTCTGCCCTATGATTTAACATTATACCTACACCAGCGGGGCTTTCAGATACACTAAGCGTAAATCGAGTTGATTCTATATCTGAACAAGGTGAAATCAAATCAGTGATTTTACCAGGATCCTATATGTACATTTCGGAGACGCGATACACATCGATGGCTCGGGATTCCAGCTATTGAAGCCTGTTGACCTATTTGGCACGAGGCTTGTTTGTTCCCGGTCTTACCGCCGGGAACAGAAATCCGTGGGGTAAGGTGAGGTGTGACAATGTTAGGGTCAACCCTTTCTAACGGCTTCCTTCCTCGTGAGAAGACAGCATTGCTACAGATGCTGGTTGTTCGAGGGAAACGCCTTACTGCTGTAACGTCCCTCTGCAGTCGGCAGTACGACTTCGACCTCAAACCTTGAGTTGTTGCTTTTAGTCTCACCGTTCTCCAATCAACCTGCTTGACATAATAAAACCTACAGCCAGTATAGCTTGGTTGAGTCATCACGATGGGCAAGCCCGACCACCACATCAAGATAACAGCTTTGGTAGGGATGTAAAATGACAAGTTCAACTCAGCTATGTAAAATGTTTCAACCAATAAGAACATAACCAGTTTGCCGATAAATTATTCAACAAATGAGATACAAGGAAAAGGAGTGAACCCCGATCAATAATCAGTAACGAAGTCATAAGACGAGAATTTCACTGTTAGTACATATGTATGAACTGAACCGATCAACTAATAGTGGAATTTCGCATACACGATGAAACTTCATTGAGGAAATTTAAGGACACCAAGGTAAGTAGGTAGTCTTATGATTACTAGATTAACGATTAAACTTTTTAACTACAGTTGTATAGTAATAACTTCAGATGTCATGTGTTTAGATTTCACTATAGTTCCTTGCCATTACCAACAGTAGGAAAGATATAGTCAGTAGACAAGCAAATAACTGGTTGACCAATTCAAATACAATTCAATTACCAGTTACTGTGACGTAATTCAGTGAAATAATCAATTATAACCATATGTTGATTTTATTTTCTTCCTCCAACAAAACAACTTATCCAGCAACTTGTGACATGTCAACTTCAAGTTCCGTTGTATCATCCATTTCAAATCCAAGTGAATTTCTTTCACCAAAGAAACTCTACCATAATGAAACCCATCATTTTCTCACTTCTGACACTGTACATCCCAAAGGTATTTATTCATTTATGTTTTAATCAAAATATTGAAGCTCGTTTGTTTAATGATCTTTATGGTAATTCAACAAATACAACGCAATTTCAGTCTTCGTGCTGTTGTCATATACCTTATTCAAATGGTCGTATCAAATCTGTAAGCGTGTAAGTTCCTTTCAAACTATTTTATGTATACTAATGTAATTACTGCGGAAATTCCCTAAAAGCTTACAGTTTTACTTTGCTTTGACAGATACGTATTCCTTCCTACCATTTACTCGAGACGTAATGAGAGACCATTTTTGTTTTGGTTTTGGTATGTATCATTCTAAAGGATACGGTGATCATGATAATACCATTGATCGTTATACAGGATTGAAGGAAGATTCACTCTTTAGAGTAAATGCTTAAACTCTAATATTGCACTAGTTTATGCCCGTTTCTATCTGCACCTAAATGGATGCGGAAAACAGGTGGACAAAAATGTCTTCATGCTCATTTCTCAAACAAAAGCACTAAGTTTATATTCAGAGATTAATGTGCTCTACAGTCGAAGAAGAATTAAAGTGTATCTCACCTTAATTTAATCAAGGAAACTATTCAAGCTAATATGCCACCGAACGTCACTAAAATGTGACAGATCGTTGTAGCCTCATTTCAACTAGGGATTACACAGAGTTCTGTTTCACTTAGTTTGGAACACAATGCAGTCTGTATTCAAGTTAATAGCATCGATGAAATGATCGTAGAGAAAGATGATTTTTAGAGGTGAAAATCTTAGTTTATCGAACTTAAGTAGAAACCAGTGAGACTATGGCCATCACACTAAATTGTTACTAACCCCTGGGGAAAATCGGTCGACGAATGAATGGTTGCGTGCGTTCTGCGGTAGGATGTAGTTGCAATACTGATCCAGTTCTGACGGACCAAGTTTTCTAAGGAGAAGACGCACCTTCCAGCAATCATCTCTGTCAGCAAAATCAACTTTGAAGAGATCTTCATAACGCCTGAACCAAGTACCAAATGTAATATTGGCGTCAGGATCATAACGAAACTCTGAAATACCACTGGTCATACCATCGACTGACTGAAGAATTGTCGGTGTAGATGAGACTTGAGAAGAGGTGTGCGTTTGAGTAAGCATCTCCATCAATTTCAGCTGTTGTGCAAACAATTTTTCTAATTTAACATTATCTATAATGATTCACCAAATCGTTTGTCAAAACGCCGCTGCCAATTGTTATGCTCGTCTCTAGGTATGCTTAGAACTATTACGGGTCCACCTTAGTCGAATAACGAGAGCAAAACGATAAACCAGCGTCCGGGTAGGCTACTGTGATCCGATTGTCCCAATTGTACCAGCAAGATGTCTTGATATAGCGGAGAAAGCGCATTCTACAAACACCCAGCCAGAGCACAATGAATCCAAGCCTCAAATTGCGTTTATTTATACTCCGTAGAGGCATCCTTGGGACTGTCACAAAAATAGCACAGTAACCAATCACAGCCAAGGATTTTCCTAGTGGGAAATGTGATCTCAAGGTCAACTGATCGGTTCATGAAATAAATCCAAAATAAAGATATTTATCAAGCGAGTTCTGGGGATTTAACATCCTCAACAAAAACGTTGCCGAGAATACTAAAATATTTTTAATGATCGCTCTCGACTTACCGTGAAATTCAATCTCCATCTAAGTGGATTATTAGAATCGCATTCCTAATTCTTACCAAAGTTGAATCAAGTGTAATAACCTAGAATTTAAGTTTAGTGGTCACTAATTGATAGTTAGACTACCAGGTCTCGTAGCTGGGTTTATAAAACGTAGATTTCCTCAACAGATCGGTTTCGATTGTTCATCCTTTTGACTTATAAAGTTAGATACATTTCTGTGTTGCAGTCACAGAGTAACCAACTTAACTAGAAGTCTCAAACATCTACTACTCCATAGTCATTTGTTACCAAGCTGAAACCAAAGAAAACGGGGCCTGTTTAAGACCTAAAAGAGGGTCTATCGATTAGATTTTGACCAAATCTCTAAATATCAGTATTCTAACCAGTACGCCCGCGCTAACCATTTTCTTCGACTGGGTTAGTGGTGCAAACGCCTGCATAAATTAATACCAAAGACTAGGTGATTAACTAGAATAAAAGGTTCTTTATCTCATAAAATAACATGTTCGTATACAAACTCCTAGCACAAAAATTAGACAATTAGGTGTCATAAGCGATTAAAGATAATCAGTTTTGCAAGTCAGTAGCTTTGCAATCAGTCAAGACCTGACTGTTATACCCAGGAGGTCCCTCCGATTACTCATTGACTAGAATATTACATCTCTATAATTAATCTTGCAGCTATCTATTCAGAAATAGAACCGGTTTGTTAAACGAATTTATGAACTCTCCCCAATAAAATTGATAAGTGCATATATGTTTCATTTGGAGAGAAAATATTATTGGTATGAAGGTTAGCACGTTATGCAGAATCCTAATAAAACAGCAGTTGTAAGTCAAACTTACAATTTCACTTAAATACAGTGTTACATAACTAACAAACTTTAGTAAACCAATTCATACATCCAGGATTTCATTGCGCACTATCAACAACCATATAAAGCCCATGTAACAACAAAGAGACTCGTTCATTTTACTTAATTAACAACTGGACTCAACAAACCTAACTAACATAATCATTGTTTATTCTCTCTTATTTCTGATAGGGAGCATTTAAGATGCATAAAACAAACTTCTGTAGACAGTTCAAAACAAACAAGTAGTCTTAAAAGTTCATTCATATCTTGTGATCGGTTAAATACAACACCATTTACGAATACAAATATTCCAGTTGGATCACGTTCATCTGGAGATGGTCAGACAGATGATGAAGAAGAATTAAACGGATTTAATTACCCAATTACTCTAGACAGCTTTCAATCAAAAATCAATCCTACTTATTTGAATTCCCCAAATGAAGTAAAATTTGACTTAGGTAATGTTAGCATGGATGTTAAGTTTTATAGAAAACAGAAATTGTATTCAGATATTCTAAACAAATAACAAGAGTCAAGTAAACGAACATAGCCTTTAGATGTAAAAAAACTTAGTAATACGAACATTGAAAGAAAATATGACAATAATATTTTTCTACAGTCTACCTTACAGTTAGTTGCGAAACACATTTCTTGAAGTCGTATGACACTAGCTGACTACATGTATTTTGATTTGCAGTGATGTGATGTGTTGCTTTACTACCAAAGACTTCGTAAATATAAAATTGTCAAGGGAAAAGTAAATGAAGCGATGACATAGTAATCACACTGCTCAATTTTTAACCACTGAGTTGGATTTCGAGACCCTACTCCGCATATTTCAGTTTGGGAAACTGGGTTGCATTACTTAATCTCACTTACATAAAAAGAATAGCTCATAGCCAATTTTATAATCCTGTTCCTAGTTAATAAGTTGTATTGATTAGAAACACTAAGTTCATAGGGTTTGGGAGCCCTCATCAACACAAACTGTGGAGGTATGTACCGTATTTGCACACAGTTAATCACATCTGGTGATAGTACTTCATAAGCAATCCTGAGTTCTGGGAATATACGTCCAAAGGTATTAGTGGTAATGATTCGGACGTATCTAAGGAATCTCATTGCAGTTACCTGTTGGTGATTAGTGAAGATGCTTGTAGTTTCACAATATACATACATATATACATGTATATGTATATATACATATATATCTTTACATAGAAATACTTTTGGTATGCTAGAAAATAAACGAAACTTTTATTATTCATTCTTTTGATAATTTCACTTTTGTTTATTCCATTCAAATTATTATTTTTTAGAATTAGTTTTACTTTCATAAAAAAGTGGTTGAAAAACGTTAATTTTGATCTTGTATTATTTATATGACATTATTCTGTTCATAAATAATTTATGGAAATTATTTCGATTTGTTAAATTTTTAAAGGCCCTCACTCTAAACTATGTTCACCGTTGACGTCTTTTGCACATGATCAGATTAATACTAAACAGCTACTTCTTCCAGGTCGTTCCACTTTTGAAAAAAATCTGGTTCGAGAAGTAGCCTACTTTGAAATATGTGAATTCTTAATTGGACAGATAGAAGAAATTTATGATATGGAAAACTGCAAGTTTTTGAATTCTGTTTACAACGATAAAAATGAAGATAAATCTTTCCAAATTCCTACTGACTATCAGGTACAATTATCATTTTATACTAGTGAATTATTAAATTGTTTAACAGTATTATTATGTTATAATATGTAGTCTTGTTATTAAGATAGAGATGTTTGTAGAACTGGAAATGAAGGTCCAGGACAGAGTTGGTTGGAGAATGCTGGTCAGCAGCTTACACTCTGTTAGGCGTAACAGGCGTAGGTAATTATTTGTAGAAATTGTAAAGTTTAACGCTATTTTCTATCGTATACTTGGTCAGTCTTCTTGAGGTAACTAAATCACCAATGACCTTGAATTGTAACCACGGAGGCTCGGACAACTGCTTGGGGTCAGTCACATACGAGTACTAGGTAGGGATGGTAAATCAATAGATGAAGTATTGAAACTTCACCAGTTGAGTTAGTTGGAACATGTGTTACGTATGTCCAACCACCGACTGCCTCGACGAGCTATGTTTTGTGGTGTAAGAGTAGGTCGGAAGAAAGCTAGGGGCGGCCAAACTAAAACATGGCACAAAGCCATGAAGTCACTAACAAGTGAACTGAGTCATGTTGGTAGATGTAGACAACCCGGTTGGGGTCCGCGAGACGATACTAACTGATGGTTAGAGACCGTGAATGACATGGCTCGAAATCATTTGCAATAGCGCAGGTGCATCCACTTTTTGTGTTCCCTGAAATTCTAATCTTCTGAATTCTTCATCATCTGTGTCTTTATCCCTCTAAATTTACCTCACTGAATCATACTTCTTGAATAATATCTTAGAACCCTAATCTCCATTACTGCTAATACTTCCATTATCTCTACTACTATGGGATTTGAACTGACAATTGCGTCTGTGTGCTAATGTAGTGTGGCTACATGAACTTATGTATGTACGTACGCAGTTCTACATTGTAGCTGTCTGACTGACTGACACACGGCCTTTTGGTGTGACTAACTCCGTATTTTAAAGACCTTATCAATGGCGATGGAAATGAGTGTAGAATATACGTGTGCTATTTTGGAGGCATATGGTTTTTCACACCGTACTCACTACTTACGTTCATTGTCTTACAATCCATTAATAACTACGGAGCTATGAATAAAACATTTTTGTTTTAGTTTAAGGACATATCAAGAGTGTCAATTCCTGACCTTAAATGAAATCGAACCTAAAACGTTTAAATCTCATTGCAAGACAAATTTTTTGATCACTTAGTTAAAGTTTAGTAATCCATTCATCAATCCATGGTATTACATTGACATCTAATCCCATTGATGATGACCCCTGATTCATAAAATTCAATCATAAATTGATATTGTCAGTAAGTTGTATACATTTTACTTTCAAAGGTTGTTGTCTTTCATTTTTATTTGAATCTAGAAGAAACTATGTTTCACATGTATGTACTTCTTTCTTTTCCCCTTCTCTTTTTTTCGAAAACTAGTTAAAGAATTTATTGTCAATAGATTTTCATTTTTAAACAGTAATTAGACAAGTCAGTAGATATTTTTATTTAGAGTTGATTTAATCTAATCACTCGTTTACAGTATAACATTGACAAATGGCCAACATGTAAATATATTTCAAATTGTGAATTCGTAGTCGTGAAATAGGCCAGTGATGAATGTTTTTTAAAAAAAAACTTAAAAATAACAATGATATTATTAACCTTTACGTACATGAACCGTGTAACTATGTAACTTTTACATTTGGTTGTTGAGTCCTATAAAATTTTAATATAAAGTAGCTAACTCATTATTGTAAATAATATCTTATAATTGTGAATTAAATATTGACGAACATTTTTACCAATTGAAAATTGTTACCAATTTCACAGACAATCGAAACCTAACATATTTCAATAATTATAATAACACTTAATTATAAACCTTAAAGTATGTCTAATTTTACTTGTTTTGTTCTATACTCATGTTATAATAATAATAATAGTAATAATAATAATAATAATAACTAATAAATAAATCGATTATGATTTCAACTGTGAAAATAATACAACCTCCATAACCCATATTTACTGTTAACAATCATGTACTTACCCATTAGTAACTATCTTCAAGATGTATTCTTGGAGTTCAGTCTGTGTTGGATGTGCAAAAGTTATCTGCAACAAGCGATGAATGAAAGAATGCGCTAGATCATGGATTGATTGAAGTTTGACATTAACACCATTAAATTCTAACTCAGTGGTCTAGAGGTTAAGCATTCGCGTGCGAGACCGAAAGTCCTGAGTTCGATACCCGCGTGCGGCGTCACAGGTGCGTACTACTGAGCAGTTCCATACTAGGGTGAAGCAGCCATCCGGTGCTTGCAGATTTTCAATAGTAGTATAGTTAAAACCAGCCTATGATTCCATCTATGAGAATAAATAGATATTTAAATATGTATAAAATCCTTTACATTGAATAATTTGAACTATTAAATTTTTTCAAAGGTCCACAAATCAAACACTTTACCTTCAAGTATGCTGTCGTCACGTATGACTTTGCTGAATGTTACTGACCAAAATTTACCTAATCCATTAATAAATTCAACATTGCATAGTCAATCTAGTGAAATATATAACTTCGAGAATTATGTAGACAGTGCGATTGGACTGGCAGTTTCACTAGTCAATACGTGTATACAAGAAACTGCTCAAAATGAAAAACAAGAAATAATTTTGTCTACATTTTTAAAATTACAAGAACTACTTCTCAAAACTTCTAATATTAACTGGATTCGTTGTAATCAAGAGTTCATTAAATCGCCAAGATCAATGACGTTTAATTGTGATATTGAATGTAAGAACTTTTCCAAAAATAATCGACTATCAAGTGCACGTAGTAATTCAATGCAATCAGATTCTCAAGAGTAGGTTTTTTCCATTTTGTGGGATTTATTTATCTTTGTTCGTTTTCGTTTAGTTAACATTATATATATATATATATATATATATATATATATATATATATATATATATATATATAACTGGTTTCATGTATCTGCACTTCAAACCGGCTGCTTTATGTACACTGAAATGCAATTTGGGGTAAAATCTTCCTAACGAGTACTAAAATATACAATACTAACTTAGCATATACCTTCAAATTAACATAATTTAACAACTAAATTGCTATATATCAACTTGTTGCACTGTTGTTACCTAACTTCAACTATTTTCTAGAACAGTTATATCAAGACCTTAACTATCACGTACCTACCAAATTTACTATTTCTCACTGCTAAAGCTTACGCTCCTTTAAAGATTCGAACCTTTTTTACTGAGTGTTGGAACGAAAATGTGCTGTTGAATTTTCCAAAGAAATTTCATGTAGAAAAGCCAATAAGCAATTAACCTTTTCATTATAGGATTCCTCCTTCTTCAATTATTTAACATTAGACAACTAAGTATATTTCGTACAATCAGCAGATTATAACAATTTAAGTATCTGTTCACTCTGCAAGTGACAATTATAGCTAATATGAGAACCTTTGACTTTCACTATTTTGATGAAATATGTCAATAAATCGATTTGTTACCTAGCTACAGGATAATGTCATCTTGATAATTTATACACTGTAATATTACATCGTCTTATTGTTAACAAATGTCTATAAATGTTCTTGGGAAAATTCTAAAAGGCTATAACTTGCTCCGAATAGTTTTCAAGCAATCAATCTCTTTTAGATCTCCATAAAAATCTAGGCGATCCTTCATTTATATTATTTCCTAATTTGATCGATCAATTACCAAAGTTATTAACTAATGTTGGTATATTTTATAGAAGTGTCTGGAGTCCAAAGGTCACTCATAACTTTATCATTGCTCTTCTGCAACGCCAAATTTATTCTTGATAATAAGTATACTATATTACCGTCTTCTTCTAACCCGAAAGTCATCGGTTTGCAGGAGCCAATGGGTTAGGAAGTAATCGTCACAAGTGTTCAGTTTTTCAGACGTAACATCAATACACAACTTTCTAAGTTTACAACATAAATCACAAATCCGAACTTGACTCCACTTCCTTTAGTTTGAATATCCAGTAAGTATCACTAGCTCCTACAAAAATAGTATGATTCATAGTCAATTAGACACTCATATTTGGTAAACAAGTTACACGACTTCTACTTCTTTAGCTATTCAACCTACATATTCATGGTTGTAATTGTGTCTAACTTGTTTCCCCTTTTCATTATTCCATTTTAAAATATCTTAGCAAAAGAAGATGGAACACATTTCATCCTTCAAATTCATTGCCTCAGTCAACTAATTCAAAAAAATCCACCGAATCGATTATGCGATCTGATTATTCCTTGCCAATTTTAAGCCCATCTAGTTCAGCTCTTGGTCATACAAGAATGAGTTCACAACCTATCACAAATAAATTAATTGATAACTCAATTATTATCATCGATGTACCTTCAAAGAATGTTAATAGTAATAATGATAATGGTATGAATACTAACAACAGATCGTCAATTTCTTTAATCAAAGGATTTAACATGAGATCTGATGGTCAAAACTATCCTACATTGTCATCATCATTATCATTGTCGTCAACTTATGAATGTACACCTTTACCATATGGATTATTGATCAATCCACCTATTCAAAAATCTAAGTAAGTATCGTTTTATTTTTCTGTTCACATCTTTTGTATCTAACTTTTGATTTTTATTCAAAAGAAAAATTCTCAAATCACCTTTATACAATCGGTTGTCTGACTGTTATCTGACTAGTGAGTAAGTGTTATTGTCATCATCAAGTATTTTGACACCACGTATTTGAATGAAAACGTATTTGTTACTCAATACTAACAGATCTTCCACTCAGTAATATAACGTTTCTTTTTGAAACCTGTTGTAACGGTTGCTTACGATATTTCCCGGCTAAATCTTATTGCTTAGTATTCTTGACACAAAACACTGGACAAGTAACACAAATCAAAACACGGTTGAACAGGAAGGATTGTATTCCTAAATAGCAAGGAAAAGAAGCTGGAGGTAATGGCGAAAGCCAAGGCAAAAAGGCTTGAAAGCGAAGAAGGCTAGAAGGCTAAGATAAATACAATGCTAGTGTATTTATAGCCTTTACATGAGAAAACTTCTGGAAGAAAATTCACGTGATCGACTGGGCTAGATTTGACCAATCAGCATGCAGCTAATAATACGAGAATTTTCTATCCTGTTCTCCAAGCTTTGATCAGACGCTGATTGGATAGGAAATTAGCCAATCAGCGCGTAGTGACGTAATCATGCTTTAAATCCATCTATGTCCCACTAACACCTCCCCTTTGAGAAGATCATGAACAGCATATGGTATAGGGCGTCTCGGACGTGAAGTAGGTTTGGCATCTGCTTTCGCTGGTAGGTTAGCTTTCAGATTCGTACAGCGGCCAGGGCTATTCTGAGAAACAGAGGCTGACTTCCTCTTTCATTTATCTTGTAACCTTTCACCTGTCTTCTTTTTAAGTATCGGGGTGTCCAATGATGAACACGATACGCTGCAGACACTGTTAATGGGTAAATCCATTATTCCCAGCTTTTCTAGCATATCTAGACCAAGAAGATCAAGGTTTGGCCGTTCTGTCAGATAGCATATTCCTGTGCATTTTTTCCCGTTGAAGGAAAATTCACACTGCATCTCACCAACCAGTTTTAACACACCACCTGAAGCGCTTTTAGCCGTTTTCTTAGATGGCTTCATTGGCGGTTTTCCCAGCGAGTTGTACGTTTCTCTAGACATTAGGGTGATATCTGATGCCGTGTCGATTTGGAAACGAGCTGATGCACTGTTCACCTGGATAGTAACATACTTTCTCCGAACGTCATAGTCTGTTTGAAAAGCAGCTACAAGAGAAAGTGATTTAGACTCGGCTGATTTCACCACATGTCGAGTACGTTTGCGCTTCTTCTTGGGCTGAGACGTACGATCTGGTTGGCAATGGCCTTCTTTATGTCCACGTTTAAGGCACATCTGACATTTATGTTTTTAATATGGACAAAATCGTACGTAGTGCCAATCACCACATAACCAACATGCCGTCGTTGGTTTGTTACGAGATGCTATCAGCTTCTGGACTTTTAACCTAGTAATAGCATTGACACTACTGCTGGTTAAATTGTGATTTACCTGTTCAATCAACATGTTGTCGTGCCTGATACTTTGTAGGCGTTTACACTCATCTGTCAATGTTCTGAGTGTGACGTTAGGGTCTTGGTCCATTCGAATCAAAAGTCTAGTTCTGGTTTCCGCATCTTGCGGTGACTGAAGAGCTTTGATGAATATTAAGCATTTAAATTGGTCTTCCGTCAACGAGCGTAACTTGAACCGTTCACATTCTCTGTTGACGACGTCTGCAAGAACCGCATATTCATCATCGTGTTTCACCAGATTTAGACAATGATATCTAATACTAAACAATGATGATGATTCGCCGAAAATATCTGACAGCTGAGTTACTGTCTCCTCGAAACTGAGCTCTCGAGGTAACTTCGGTAATACGTGGTCAGCGTAACGTTCATACTCATTGCTTCCCAACTTACGCAGCAACAACCGAGTCTTCCATGCATCATCTTGTTTACCGAATTCAATCCTAAATGTATCTTCCCAACGTTTGAACCACGTCAGAAAAGTATTTCCACATTCAGGATTATAGACGAATTCTGGTATGCTGTTAGCCACTGCTTCACAAGACGTATTTGAAACAGTATGTGGACTCGAACACTGGATGTTGAGCTGTTGAGTTAGGGTCTCCAACAACCGCATTTGTGCATCTAATTGTGCTTGCTGTTGTTGTAGTATTCGGTTAAGCTGATCATCTGAAATAGGCATCTTGAAATTTTCTTCCTTTTTCTCCGTCGCCACTTCCTCTGACGACACTGGAGTGTTTCGAATGGCTACTACACTCCTTATTTCTGGGTCTACTGCTGTTGAGGCAATGATTATGTCCTCTGGTTCAGGATGCTGAACCCCAATTAATCGAGAGAGAGCGTCCGCTTGACCGATAGTATTTGTCGACTGATACTTGATATTGAAATCATAACTCAGGAGCATCGTTGCCCAGCGCTGTAATCTATTAGCCGTATAGACAGGGATTCCTTTCTTAGAACCAAAGATTGCAATCAAAGGTTTGTGATCTGTCAGTAGCGTAAACTTACGACCATAGAGCATTTTATGAAATCTTTTGACAGCGAAAATAATTGCAAGAGCTTCTTTCTCAATTTGACTGTAATTTCGCTTGGCTGGGGTGAGAGATCTGGCAGCATGGGCAATTGTTTTTTCTGATTTATCCGGAAACACATGAGATATTACTGCTCCAACTCCATAACTAGAGGCGTCAGATGCAACAACAATTCCCAAGCTGGGGTCGAAGTGTGTCAAAAGAAGCTTTGAGCTGAGCATCGACTTGACTTTATCGAAAGATGCTTGACATTCTGCTGACCACTGCCAAGGTTTATCTTTTGATAGTAATTCATTCAAGGGACCTCTCACTCGATGCATTTCAGGCAGGAATGCGCTGTAATGACTGATTAACCCCAAGAAAGATCTTAATGAAGAGACATCAGTTGGTGCAGGCATCTTCTGAATGGCTTCGATGTTGGCTGGGTCTGGTCGGCGACCGTCCTTATCTAAGATGAAACCAAGGTATTTGATCGAATGCATGAAGAAGATACACTTTTCTTCACGTAGTTGGAAACCATACTCCAACACTCGGTTAAGGACTTGATGTAGTCGATCTGACAGTTCACTGTCACTTGAACCCATAACTATGATATCATCTAGATAAGCTGCTGTCCCAGGTATACCTGTTAGCATCGTATCCATTATTTGCTGAAAGCCGGTGCGGTCTTGATGCCAAATGGTAGACGAGTGTATTGAAATAGCCCTCGATGGGTGTTAATAGTCAGGAGCTCTCTACTATCTTCATCTACTTCTACTTGTAGATAGGCATCGGAAAAGTCTATTTTCGCGAAACATGTACCACCATTAAGCTTGGCAAACAGATCTTCAGGAACTGGTAACGGATACTGATACACATCCAATGCAGCATTTAAACCAGTTGAGAAATCGGCACAAATGCGTATAGTTCCATTAGCTTTCTTAATCACTACGATCGGTGCGGCCCATGAAGAGTAGTTGACTGGTTGGATTACCCCAGCCTGTTGTAAGCGATTAAGTTCCTGATCGACTAGCTCAAGAGTGGCATATCCCGTTCGTGTATGAAATGTGCATTAGCAGCAAAAGCACCGCGCAAAGCAGAGTTGCAATCATGGCCAATACCACAGTCACCGTGGCAGCGTATACATTTGGACTTTGCTGGCCCACTTCATGGACAAACTTACCTTCTGGTAGTTGATGCATACAGTAAGTGGCCAGAAATTTTCTTCATGAAACACCCAACTGCAAGCTGTACAGTCAGTAAATTACGTTAACTATTCAGTCGTTTCGGAGTCCCGGAATTGATAGTTACTGACAACGGGACACAGTTTACGTCCGCAGTCTTCTCGCAATTTTGCCGGCAGAACGGAATCTGTCACATCCGAACAAAACCAATACTAGTACTACCTTGTGTTGGAAAAGTCACCAATGAAGAATTATGATGTCCGGTTAAAAAAGCATCTGCAATGTATGCTTATAAGCATACATTCTCTCCATTTGGTTTTCTAACTAACCATTCAGAGAATTTCCTCACACACTGTTCAACTTGATTGACTATATTGGCATTCTAACTCCATGTGAGTGAAGTGATACACCTGAACTATTTATTTATTTTATTTAAACATATAAACATCGGTACAAAAGAACACCAAATATATATTTGACACAGTAAAAATAAGATTGTAAAAAGATAGAGAAGGGTAAGTGAGTACAATAATTAGAATAACGAAAATGAATAGAGTAATAATAATGATAACAATAATGGGAGAAGCAGTTCAATTAAAAAGAATACGATCAAAAATGGATTCTTTCAGTGAAAAAGTTCCTATATCTTGTATGAGGAAATTAAAAGACAGTTACAACAGGACCGCCACTGGATTCTGTTTTGTGCAATTTCTGATAACATCTCAAGCCACTATGTTACACTTTCTGTAGAACCACAATCAAGAAGTCGTGAAAGACCAACAGCTTTTTTCATACCACCACACCATATCATATACTGGTGACCTCTCCACTTTTCTCAACCAGTCCTAGTTTCAGCAATTAATGCACAATATGGAATTTGCTGGGACAACATTTGTATTATGTGTCCAAGCTAAAGAAGTAGATGTTTAAAGATGGTGACTCCAATCAAATTATCGTCCCCGTGTCCTAACACGTTATCAAACCTCTGCTTTACTAGTATTGTCTTACCACTGAATTTTATTGATTCTTTGGAGAGAACTATGATCAGACACGGAGAGCTACCTAACACCCTTAACTCGAATAGGCTAGACTTCGCAAATATGAAGCATAGCTACTCTCACTGATGCTTTATAGACCCAACCTCTTACAGTTAGATTAACATCGTGAAGGCACCGAAGATGGCTCAGATTTAAGCAAACCACTGTGGATTTCACTGTATGTAGATTGGTCTTATTACTCACGCCATTACCAGCAGTTACATAGCTACCCAGATACTCCAACTTCTTGGATAGTACTAATTGCTCACTAACAAGAATGAGTGCAGACACTCGGTCCTAACAGTCTTGTAAAGTACTTTTTACTTATAAGGTGCAAAGCACATGCCATACCTATGGACACTAAGTGCAGATTGCATGATTTGAGTGTCATTGTACAGCAAGACAGTATCATCTGCATTTTCAAGGTCGAGTTCTTTCTCCTAGTAACAGGTCTATATCATCATTACCTACATCCATCAGAGCTGTTTCCAGAACGTCATCAATAGCAAAGTTAAAGAGGAACATTGAGACTAGATAAACCCTGCCTTATCCTACTGCTTGAGTGAAACATTAAAGAAAAGTGGTTGTAGGCCCTCACCTTATCTAGGGTGTTTGTATATAGGGCTTTAAAAATGTGAGTAAATCTCAAGAACATCCTTCTTGCATAGACAGTCCTAATAAATCGAAGGCCCCCTTTATATCAAGAAAGAACGATTGTTGACGTGTCGTGGTATTCTAACATTTGCGGAGGGTGAAGATATGATCAATACATCTTCGAACAGAACGATTCAATTTTTCTCGGGTTTTAAACAAGCTGCAAAATATGGCGAAAGCCAACAGTTTAGACGTAATCAAAAGTAGACCTAACCTCCTGTACAGATGACCTAAACGTTTTAAAGATAATGAAAACTATCAACACATTCCAGGGTGTTGGGACACTGAATGCCAGGCTTTTGCAAACAACCCAGTAAGTTCATTAACCAGAAGGTTGTCACTATTTTTAAAGAGGACTGGAGTTAAGTCATGTGGGCTTGATGACTTGTTTTTCTTCAGTAATTGTAATCCTTTGCGGACTTCTTGTTAGGTAAGTCTGTCAATACCGGTCAGGAGTGACGAAAAAGTTTAATCAATGTCGCTGGGGCAGCCGACTGCCTGAACTGTCCCCCGAATAATTCTGCCCACCGTCCACTCTTGCTGCCAGTGGCTTCAATGGGTTGGAAGAGCTTCCGGCACTTAATAAATACAGCTGCTCTTTCCAACTCATTATCATACCTGAACAGTCAGACTTCTCGGTCCTTAAGCGAACTTTACACAATTTGATTACGTAAGAATCCCAAATCGTTGTTAGACGAAGTAAGTTGGTATCCCTCAAGAAGTTGTAAGAAGCATGTAGTAACGCAGTACTCAGTTCTAGTGCATAGTGTGACACCAACACCAGCAAAACCAAACGAAGATACTACAAGGTGACCAGATAAACGCAGGCAAGAAAAGCTCTTTGAAGTAACTGAGGAAGTGCGAACTTGTAGTACTCTACACTAAGAGTTTTGAATACGGGTTATGGATTGACAACAGACAACTATGACTAAAAGAACAACTAAGTCATTGTGTATCATGAATATTTTAACATCTGAACGTTTAGTTGTAGTTAATTATAGTTTTGCTTTTAATACTTGAAAATATGTTTCGGAGTTTTTAAACATTACTATCCTAATGATATTGAACTAAAAATGGTCATTATTTTAATAAAATGACTTTCATATCATTTTTCTGTGCATAGACGTAAAGAAATTCTTATCAGTCAAAATAACCGATGTGCTGGTTGCGGTGCTTTCATTGAAACGCGTAAGTTTGTCTGTTTTATTTAATTTTATCAGTCTCTGATTGAAATAATCTTAAATATTCAAGAAAGTTTTTTTTTCATTTACTCAATACTTTTGTATTGATAAATTCTTTATGAATAACAAACTGTTCTGAAAACTGTTAAAAGTGTTCATCATCGTATGTTGTATATCATTCATATGAATTATTGGCAGATTTTACCAGTTGGATTATCGTTTAACTTGGTTAATTCCGTATTTTCTAACCCTTATATACTGAAGAAAAAGCACAGCATTATACTGTTCAAAGCAAATGGATTGTTTTAGTAGAATAACTTCAAAGAATTAATGTATCATAGCAGTAGTTTGATAGTTCATCTTTAACTATTAAGTGAGAGGTTCACATCCCCACACCCGTTTTGGTTTTAATAAACTGGGAGCATCAGTAACCCTTACATTAAAAGTGTTTTGTTACTGTTTTCATAACTACTTACCTTTTTTGTTCTATTTATATTTTTCTTCAGAGTATCTTAAAAGAATGCGTTTTTGTGAATTTTTCGGTCGTTACTTTTGTTGTGTTTGTCATTCAAATACACTTATGACTCTTCCTGGAAATTTAGTAAACTGGTGGGATTTTCGCATGTTACCAGTTAGTAATTTTGCACGAGATCGACTTCATCAGCTGCATAATCAACCTTTACTGAGAACCATTGATTTCAATAAACAAGTTTTAAATCGTCACTCTAATCTTTCGAATTGTTTGACTTTACGTAAACAAGGGAATTTGATGTTACCATTCATTCAACGGTGTCAAACAGGTTAGTTGTTGGTGTTTTAATTCACCAAAATTTTGTATTGCATATTTGTTCGCTAACTATGTTTAATATTAGAAATGAATACAATGTGGTGATTAGGTATACGTAACACATATCCCAACCACCCCAAATGATAAAGTTTTAATACTTCATCAACTGCTTTACCATCCTTACCTGATACTCGTTTCCTAACAACTGCACTGCTGAATCGATTATCCCAGGATATACGAGCAATGCTTCGAAGACACTAATAGCTTACGAATATCATCAACTCTTACTGGCCATGTTTCACAGCTATAAAGTTGGACGGGGCAAACTGCTGAACAGTCAACCCCGGCAGCACTAGACGGCCCTTCGGTCCTAGTATGGGACTCATCAGCAGTGCGTACCCACGGCCTCTTTACGTGGGAATCAAACCCAAATCGTTCGGTCTTGCGCGTGAACGACAAACTTTTAAGATGTTGGAAGAAATTTATAGCTCATCCGGATGATTGTGATATAGTTTCGTTCTCCGAGCTGATTGTTTTGGTTGTGGAGTTTTCATTGTTCTTCTGAACAACATCAACACAAACTTCAGATAGAAGTGAAGTATTCTAATTTCTCCACGTTTGACCCGTAGCTTGTTCTGTTAACTTTGATCTTGATTAGTTTTTATTGACCTTAAACTTGTCGTTGTCTGCACCTTTATTTTTATTGTATCCTCCTTTGAGCTGTTTCTTGATCTTATGTTTGTTTATGACTTTTCTTATTGCTTCATAATTTGGATTGATTTCGATCTGTTTGCTGATCGCTGATTGGTCTGAATGTCAAGCTCCCAAAAATCCTCTAGTGTTCTTTGTACTTCCTCTATCCAGTATTTCAACATAATTCCAATCGAATGTATATCCATAGTTGTTCGTGTGTATAGATATAAGTGAGGAAATGTCATGGCGTTTGACTGCTAATTGATGTTCACGCAAACGAAGCTGAAGGGGGCGTCCACTTTGTCCTATGTAGTGTTTTTCACAGCATTAGCAGTTTATTTTGTAGATTATATTTAGCTTTTTCACCTTTTGTCATTTTTCCTTTTGTCTAGATAGGATTGATTAAAGTGATTCTGTTGGTTTGTGTGCTACACATAATACAAGTGGTTTCAGTGACAGTGCTGTAATTGCTGATATTTCTTTTATGTATGATAGGATGATCTGTTTGTTGGTTCCTGTACTTCATTTCGCTTCTTCTGATTGTTTCAATTGTATTTTTTGTTGAAGTCGCGTGGATAGCCTTTCTTTTGGAAGATATTTTTCTCTGTCTTTTTGTGCTTCATGTGTTCTGTAGTGTGTTTTCGCTCTCTTGAACAAAGTTTGTACGCAGTTGATTTTGTGAGTTGTTAGATTGTTGCTAGTGTAGTTGAGAATTAGATCTGTGTTTTGGCTTCCGAAATACTTGAGTCTCCAGTTTTCCTTTGTCAGTTCTGGTGACTAGTACATCCAGGAATAGTTTGTTGTCCGACTCCTTTCACCGTGTCGACATTCAGCGTTGTTAATGTCTAACTTTAACCATAATTTCTACGAAACTCAATAATCTGCATAACTCTACGATGAAAAATCACAAAATGTTCTCACTAATAACTAGCTTCTTCAGGAAATTCTCGGAGTTCGAGTGAGAAACCGTGATCAGTGGAGTTGAACCCTAACGGGTGTAGGCAGTTACCTACCGAAGATAATGAGTGAGGTTCCCCAATAGCTTGGGTTGACTAAAACTAAACATAAACATCGTTGGATGCCAACTCAGTGGTCTAGAGATTAAGCGTTCGTATGCAAGACTGAATGTCTTGGGTCCGAGTCCCGCTTACGTGATCGTGGGTGCGCACTGGTGATGATTCGCATACTAGGACAGAACGACCGGCCATCGCTTCCAGGTTCCTAATGATAGTCTAACGGTGATCGATTCATGATTTCGGTGGAACACTTTTTAACGAAAAAAGTAAACAAAACCTGCAAGCAAACTTGATAACCATTTAAAATCAAAATTTCAATTTTAGATAAACCTTAATTATTTTTAGTGCTCTATCCAAAAAATTTCATCAGTGTTTGTTAAAATTGCATTTTAAACCTACTCATTGAATAGGAGTGCAACTATATACATATTCCATTTTAGTTATCTGTATTCTTTACACTGTCATAATGCTTCTAATTATAATTGGAGTCAAAGTAAAAATAATTACAACCAGTTTAAGGATTATTATTTACTAGACCTTTTTTAATTAAAAATTGTTTTATAGAGATTGGATTTAATTGTAGGTTGCATAGGTCACAAATTGATCTCGATTGAGATATTGTTGCGAGGCAGAAAGTACTAGACAATATAATAATGCATTACGAGGTTGTGAAGATTGTTAAGTTACACATTTTTGAAAAATATAATAATGATTAATATTTTTACTTTTATTCTTGTATTTTGTTTTAGCTCAACAATTAATTGATTTTACCTCCATTCCAAATCATTGGTTTAAATCACCAGATTTATGGACCATGGCTGATTTGCATTCTGTGCATGATGGACAATTATCATTAGCTTTACGTGGATTACTCTTACCAATAGTAGAACATATATCAATATGTACACGATGTTTAGCTCGTGGTTTTATTTGTGAAATATGTAAATCTGGTCAAATTCTTTTTCCATTTGGTCAAGTTAATACTGTAGTATGTTCCGGTTGTTCAGCTTGTTTTCATCGTTCATGTTTACGTTCGCCAAATCCAGAAACATGTCCTCGGTGTATTAGACGTGCAGTTAAACAAGAATAACTAATTTGAAAAGATGCTATTAATATGATCGTTTTACTTTTCGTAATCTAACATTTTACTTTTACATTATTACTCCCCTCTTCATCTGCTCCTACTCCATACATGCATGCCACACCAGCCACTTGTATTATTTCTTTCCATTTTATCATCTCACTGTCAAAACGAGATCAAAGTCAATCCTTACGTTTATCTCATTGATTTCAACCAATGATTTTTCATAGCTGAAAAATTGACATGAAATTTGTCTTAAAATTAATATCGTATGGATTTCAATTACGTATTTATTTATTGAAACAAAATGGAATCGTTTTGTTTTATTATATGATTGGTATGCGTTTATTTTTAGAAATTGAATTTCTATTAGGCTCTCTACTTTTTATTTTCACTGCTCAGAAGATATTTAATATTTTTATTTTTATTATTACAATTTTTTTAAACTGCAGTTTACTACGACATATTATATAAAACAATTATTCTGTACTTAATTAATTGATTGAAACATTGAACAAATGGAAAATAAGAAAGCTGAATTGTTTATTTTCCTACTCTCATGTCTTTCTACTCGTTTTGTAATTCACTGTACACACATAACAAGCGATATTCAATCGTCTTGAAGAAATTTGTTTGTACATACTAGATATTAATCTATTCCCCATTACATGATTTAACGAAAGTTTGTGCTTTTCTATCTTCGTGGGATTGGTGATGAATTGTAAAATGTTAACTTCATAAACGTTGTGTGCACATAATTTAACTTATTTGCCCACTACCCACCATAACATTTTACACGGTCGCTGAAACTGATGTCGGTAGGATAAGATTCTCTTATGCAATCTAGAAGATAAACATTGAGTTGTTTAAATAAGCTACCACTTCATATGAGAATGATACTTTCTCAAAGGTTTAGGACTGTTACGATAATTAATAACTGAAGAAATTTGTATTAATCCCATATCTGGTTGATTATCTGTCAGTCAGTCAAACAGATGTGACGTAGAATCTGGTACAGTATGTCAACATGATGCAATGAATTTATTAAGACAAACCATCGAGTAGAGAAAGTAGTCAGTCATCGGCGGTAGGTTGCTGTGCGCCACTTATACGGACATTTATATAACAGGAAGAAGTAACAGAGATCTCATTGGCAGGAGAGAGAAATGAGAAGAGAATTAAAAAAAAGCAATTAGAGAAAAGGCCAGAATGACTGAGCGCTGCAGATTGTAAAAGTCAACTCAAAGATGTGCAAATGGTACATTTAGTGTATTATTTTTCATATTTTGCAAAGGCAATTTTTGTCTTCGTTCATTACAGTAGTGGTCGAAAGAATTAGGGATGGATAATATGATGAGTTCGTTGAAATAAGAATAGTATAAGATGATTTTGAAACTGAGCATCTATTGGAAGACGAAGAGAATGCTCCTAACCCACTCCAACCGATTCTGAGCCATGCTACACATCGTCACAAATCGTTAGTTACACACCGAACCCAGGTTGCACAGTTCAACCATTAATGACTCTGTTGACTGGTATCGCGTTTTGTTTGCCGAATCCTAGCCACTACATTGACATAACTGTGGTAGACAGGCTCAACTTCATTCCTTATCATTTTTCATACACTGACTCAGACCAGTCTTGAAGTGATATTTCGCATTTAGAGCGAGAGGATCGCATCCCACATATCCTTGATTGTCGCCCAAAGAGATCACAATACTACACTTTGTCCGCGTTTTCACCAGTTAGAACCATGCTGTCAGTGTAATCTCAGTCAACGACTAAACCTCCTGGTAGATTGGCAATTATGATGACAGTTCACTATCTGCTCTCACTTAACCGCTTGTGTTCGGTCAGAATCTTCACAACGTTAGTATACACTTTGGTACCCCTTTCAGCGGTAGGTGCCATAGAAGCTGTCTGCCAGAGGTCTTAAATATTGGCTTAAAGCCAAGCAATACCACTGTTCGGATGTTGGTACGTGGGTCTGTATTCTAGAATCTAATAAATCGTGAATACTTCATCCGTACATCTACGTTCAGTTCTGAGACCAGGCTGGTTTCCCCATGTTCGCTATTCATGGGTCATAGGTAAGCGTCGGTCGATTACTGCAGCGAATATTTTAGACACTATATTTTCCAAAATCATTTCTCTGTGGTTATTAAAAAGATATTTTAGTCCTTCCTTATATACTGAGACTACTAAGGATTAAGTTCAATTAAATGGGATTGAGTTCAATTCTCAAACTCTGCTCAATATCGCATTTAGTATCAGTGAAAGACGAGTATTATTTTGTTACAAATGCATGTAAACACGTCATTTGATATACTTGAACTATTACGAGTTTACCTTTATCTGAAAAATAGAGGGAGGATCCGGCGACACGACATGCTACTCTAATCCAATTGTCCCAACCCCTCCCCATTGAGTAAAAGAAGACGACATGAAGTAGAACATGTATCCTACAAGCATCCAGAAAGTATGATGTCCGAGTCCCGAAGAGAATCAGGACCCCAGACTGGGATCCGGGTCATAAAACGTTATAGATAATGCGTACTTATACAGTTAGGTCGAATAGGAAATTCAAAATTATCAAAGAAATTGACATAATCAAAAATACGAAGATGATTAGAGATGGGTATACCTATCATTGTGTTGAAAAGCTTCCAGCAAAGTTAATAAGGTCATAAAAGTATGTTATGGATGCATAAAGTATGAGAAGAAAGGTTACAAAATGTTGAACTAGTGATTATAAATCAAAGAGTTAACAAACTTTCGATGGTTGTGTAATGTAGTAACTGAGATCAGATTAATGGTGTTAAAGAATAATTTGAATCAGTGAATTGGAATCAAAATTGTGAATTAAAGCAAAATGCGATAGATGTCATCAAAGCTTGAAAAAGAGCTAAACTAAAGAATTATGTAATAGAATGGATGTAATGTTACTAGGATGAGGAAAGATTCATTACTTTTTCTTTCAGAACACATAAATTTGGTTTCAGACGTTTGATGGCTACAGCTTCTGCAAATTTCAAATGGGGACTCGATTGTTTATTTATCACCTTAACAGGAATCGGTGTATTCACTTGATGTCCTGTATCCAGATGTTTCGAGAACTCACTGCCGAAAGCCTTTAGCCCACTTGACCTTAAACTGTTTGAAATATGTTCTTTCAGTCTGATGTTAGCCCCTCTTTCTGTTTAAGCGATGCAAATGCTTTGAAAGATACATGTGAATTTTTATATAAAGTTTTTGAGACACTAAATACAAAATGGATGTCTTGAAGTGATCCTTAAGTTAAAATAATAGTCAGAATATTGTTTCATTAAAACCATGAACTGATCAATATTAGACCATCTTTAAAAACTTGTAAACACTAAGTGTCCGTTTCATCATCACTAGTGTACATTCATGATCTTGCAAGCAGGAACCCAACCCAGGACCTTTCTTTACACGCCAACCCTTAACTTCTGTATGAAACAGCATTCCAGAACTTTAGGGTTTCTAATGATGGTCTAACATTGACTAGTTCATAATTTCGAATGAAATAAAAAACAGTGAAATATTAGTTCCGTTAAGATGAAATCGATTTCAAAGTTCATATAGAAAACGAGATAAGTAGAATAATCTAAATACCCAGTGGTACAGAACACGAGTTTTACCTGGTAAATAGTTGCATCAGTTTGGTATTGATAGAAATTAAATAGTAATAATAGGATCTAATAAGTTAATAGAACCGTAGGCTAATGAACAAAATGCAATCTATTTTCAAGAAAATGACTAAGTCAACAAATCCGCGTTGATCACTAGAAAAAAAATATTGGAACAAAACAAAACAAAAGTCTTACACTACTGATATATTCATTTAAGTAGTCAGGTTTGCTACAAAAAATATTCAACCTTTTCGCTTGTCTCCTCATCGGGATTAATAAAACCGATATCATTGAAACTTTATAAATTTGACTTTAGATGTGCCAAACCACGTGAAACATGTCCGGACAACATACATCTATCAAGTACCACATAGGAGATGACCTTTCAAAGTCATTATTAAAACAATACATATAAGCGAACAAAATTGTTTTCAGTCTGATTTAATTGAGAACAAAATCATTAAAGTATATGATGTGTTGTTCTGATTTTGCACGTTAGGAACAGTTTTATTACAATCAAGTGATTTATAAAAAACTACTACTTCGATTTTTCTATAAAATTTTCTTGTCCAACTTTTTTGTTTTATTAACATACAAGTAAAATCTTGAGTTCTTACATCCTCTGATCATTACTAAAAAGAATAAATTCAGCTATTTCGTTTTACATACCAATTTCTTGTGACCATGTTCCAGTTAATCTATTAGTTTTAGCGTTAAATGTTTTAGGAGGCTAATCAATACAGTCCTCATCATGAACCGATGTCTACAGAGAATTCAGTGAAAATCAGTAAGGTTAGGAACATTCCATCCTAATAAATTTGACAACTTACCTCCACTATTCTACATACGAATCTACTTGAGACTTTTATATCTTATTATAAGCACAGAACCATGGATACGGAACTCAGAGATTGTTGTTCCCAACTTGAGTTAACTGTGAGTACAAAATGAAAACATTTTAAGATATTTCGAAACTTATTTGGAAAATTCTAGGTAGAATTTAAGAAGTCATTTAACAGCCAATCAATCCACTCTATTTACCCCCATGTATTTTTTATAGTTCTCAGTTTTATCCTACTTTGTCGAATCTCAGTGTTAAAAAATGTTCTAACTCCACATGGTATTATCATCACCATAACTTTAAGTGTTTTACATTGTTTAACCGACTTTGTACTATATTCATAACTTTTATGTATGTTTTATATCGGCAAGTATAAGCTAACTCATGAACTTATAACTGTTTGAAAAAATCATTTGTGGAGAAATTCTTTATTTTGAATAAACACATTTTCAACTTATCATTGGGCAGTGACAAGAACTATACTTTTATCTGTCTCATGATTAATCTTAACATCGACTTTCCAAAAGCACATTCTAAACTATTGAAAATCAGTTTAGATCAAATCGAATTACTAGAGTAGTTTCATGGCATAAGAGCGAACAAACAACCTTTGTTTACGCTTGTTTGACTGATATACTATATCCCACCCTAAATGCATTTTTTATTTTATAGCTGTCTACGATAGATTAGTCATCAAATCAAATCTGTCTTTGAGACGAGTTGAATGACCTTGATATCGATTAGAATTAATCATCACTCTTCTGTTGCTATTATTTCCAAAGCATCAAAATGATTGACCAATTAGACGTTCGATATGCAGTGAATTGATTGGCTGATTGGGTTAGAGCTTAAGCATTTGTTATTATAGTACTTCGAGATGGCCTCTTCTGAGACCAACAAGCGTCAAGGAGTGTGTCACACACATGCAAAGCAACAGCATGTTTTTGTCAGCAGTTGTCAGAATGTACATACTCGACGAACTTTTGTAGACCATGACAGTTATAATTAACATTAAGTTTCGTCCGCACTTGTTTGTTGTTACTTTAGAAAGATTAGTAACATTCATGAATGTCTAAGCAGGTCTCGTGCTTGTTGATCGTACAATGTTAGATGTTGATATTCAATGGGGATCAGTTGGTAATATGAATGCGACATCTGTTAGCAATTTTCATGCATTGACGTACAATCTAGGGAGTACAGAAGCTGAAGAAACTAGTATTAATGAGAGTTCCACTGGAGAATTACAAAATGTTTTGGGCAATAACCTTAATCTTTGTTCGCCTAAAAAAATGCACAATGTCAAAGAAAAAAGGCAAGCAATCTGTCAGTCGAGTCCATCAGAAGCATCGAAACAAAATGTTGCAACTAACATTGTCGATAAACCGAATAATGGACCGTGGAATTTAGTTAAAGTTCGTGTAGGCTTTGATGTTACACGTAAAGGTAGGTTCCGCGTTATTTTATTTGTTCATTATATGTTAAATAGATAGTCATGATATTATTGAATTTCAACACTAATGGCAGATGTCTGAAAAAGGCATTGACATAGTTATCAAAACTGGTTTATATTTATAAGAACTTTTATTTGGTTGTATAGTCATTTGTAAGTTGGCTGTTTAGTTATCTGTTGACGCTTTCAGTTTGAAGTATAAACCAGATCATTGTAAAGTGGAGTGGTTCTTCTGCATCATTTGAAATTAATTAATTTACATAAGCTTATAATAACAAATATATTTAAAACAACTAGTCCCTTTTATAAATTTTGGTAGAACAGCGAGATGTAATTGATCGGAAAAATGTGATGTATTTGCGCTATACATTTCGAACAATCTGGTCACACATATACTTGTCAAGGCATTTTATATGAAGATTAATAAAAGGTCAATTAAATAAGTGTTCAAGTAGATATATGGTGATAATTGTAAATAAAGGAGGGAGAAAATTAACGTAATATGGAAAGAGTAAGAAAGGGTAGGTCATGACAAATTGTTTCTGTTTTTTTTTTATTTTCGAATACCCAAAGCCTCCATAAACCTCGAAATTCGTCCTTCAACATTTCTATACAATGTTTCGAAGGCTGTCTTAATGCCAATCTTATGCCCTGTCTCGATTACGTGTTTTGCGATCGATGCACAAGGTTTCCTATTTCCCACGTTTATCAGTTCATCTGACGTTAACTGATTGTGAAGCCACTTAGGTACATGTTCCATAACCCTTGACCAGATTGTTCGAATTGTTTAGCGCAAATACATCACATTTTTCATATCAATTACGTCTTGTCACTTTTCTATCAAAATAACAAATATATATTGCGTTATCCAATAACTAGACGGAAATGTTTTGGAATTAATCAAATTTTGAATACTAATATAGTAAGTATCGAAATTTTTTTCTTCACAACATTATTGACATCTAACCTGTATATTTATACTTACAATATTAATTCTGTCAGTTAATTACTCTTTGATTTTACATCGTTTTCTCAGGTGAAAGAAGTTTAGTTATCAACGGGTATAAATTTACAAAATCAAGAGATGGAATGGGTGATCGTGTGTTCTGGCGATGCTCTCGTCGTGAATGCAAAGCTACAGCAGTTACTGTATCAAATAAAGTAGAGCATATACGATCGATTCATTCGCATTTGCCGCCAGTAGCTGCGGAATTTTTTTCCAATGATTCTTCACGTTATGAACAAGAAGTACGATTTAATAATTTGGTTTATACTCAACGTTCCCGTATCCGTAGGCGTAAACAATTGAATCCTTCTGTCAAATTATCAAAACAATCAATAACTAAACCTTGTTTTCTTGAACAAACGAAAGAAATATTCTGCCCAACTTCATCAACTGTAACATCAAATTCAGCTTCGTATAAGGAATATTCTTCAACTCCAAGAAATATGAATAGTTCAAATGATATGTGTTTTGATGCAAGTGAATATACATCTCCAATGAAGAAACAACATTGTTCCGATGAAGTTTTATCTAATTATTTAACTTTACAAACAATTTCTACTCTTTTAAATAAATGGGTTGATTCGAAACAAGTGAACATTGAAAATGGCGAGGTGAAAGTAAATTGTTTTATTGTTTTTTTTAAATGTACTTTCTCTGGATTTAAGGTACTCTTTCTAGTTGGAATCATTTCTCAGATTCGTTTCTTAGCATTAACTATATTCTGTCAGTAGAACAAAATGTTCTGTTTATCCAACTTATATATTTTGGAGTTGTATCATAGAAGTGTAGTATTTGCAATTATCATTATTACTGTCACCACATTTGCCACTCTGAGATTCGCTCTGATAATTTTATCTCGACGTGCTAATAGATAGTGGCAACTTGAATTATGTATGTACCAGTTTCTAAGTTACATGTGAATGACTGACTCTACATTTGAACATTACAATGTCGCCATATAATCAATCACACTAATTTATCAAGTCATTTATTAACTACATTATATATTCAACCATTATACTCCATAAAATTATCACCATACAACAAAGAACTGTGATATTCAGTGAGAGAAGTTTTCAAGGTTCTACTACGCGTGTAAATGTTCAGGTGAATTTAATGCGAGCAACTGAGTAACCACTGTCCATCGTCGCTACCGTGATGAAATATGTGAGGTTTATTGAACTGCTAGTATCATTTGCACATTTTCATAGTACGAAACACGTACATTGTGCATAAATTCTGTTTCTGTGTTTTTTGAGAGAAATTTTGATGCCACCCGGTGAAACTGAATTTAAAAAAATTAATTTTTGTACAGTTTAAACAATAGTAGATTAAAAACTGTAAATCAAGGCTGAAAAATACTTCCGGAACGTAATTAGACATTGTAGGTACTGAAATAATCCGTTCGTAAGATTATGATATTTAATAAGTTTACTTGAAATGAATTGATCATATAAGATAAATTACTTAACATTCTTGGTTGTCTATGATAATAATAATAATAATAGACAATATTGTTACGTAGAGACAATAAAAATAACATTAACAATATCCATAAATTAATCTCAACTGGATAGTGTAAATTTATCATTATCTGGATCAGATCTGATGGTTGTAGACTAATATCTGATTAGTATCATCAGTGTTCATTTGTATGAAATTCTAAACTGAAACAAAACATTTGCACTACTTGCATTTCCTTATTATCGTAAGTTCTGCATCCCGATAATTTTTTTTAGATATTTCAAAAAATTAGTAAGCTTACTTTAAATTTAATAGAACTGAAATTATGAATTAAAGTGAGAAAGTAATCTGAATTCGAAAACCAATTCAAGTAATTTATTTTTTTAACTAAAACAATCATCACAAATATCGTAATAGCCTATATGAAAAAGGTTGAGTTTGAAACTTATCCAGGAAGTTTAGCGAATTATAATTGATTACTTAGTTTGTCATGAGACCATGATTGATTGTATTTTAAAAAAAGTTAAGTCTTAAGATGACAATTGACTTACACTAGGTTGGAACAACTCGTAGTCAACTATGTAATCCATTAATAAAAATCCTAATTGTAATTTGATAAAATACTTATGTGATGGATCATTTTTCTTCTATATGCAAATTAAACTTATCCATTTTGAAATCATTAAGATGAAAATAAAATGAACTAGTTCAACAGTATTACTTACTCATTACATGACTCATAGGAGACTATACGAAGGTCAAGTTATTTCATTTGCATGTAGATTGTGCAGTGCAATCGACATGATCATTAATTTTATTTCATATGATATGGTGATAACAATAATCATAATCATAATAATAATAATAAATACGTTTTGATCATGTGACATGATGATTATAGTACATTTGATTTTTTTTTCTTGGTTCTTCAATATTCAAGTATCATTGATATTGATGATTGAACTTAGAGGGAATATTACATCATTGCATAATGATTCATAAACTCATAGTATCATAAATTTTCTCATTTATTATGGTTGAGTAATTTTTTTCTTCCATAATTTCTCAAATCTAATCGGTTGTTTACATTTAAGTAAACTTTAAACCACAATAGTTAAATATTTGTCATGAAATTTATTTGAATAAAAATTAAAATTAACTGTTACGTAGAAAAGTATTATTTATTTATTTATTGGAATTTTACTGATCACTTAGTTAATGACACTTTCAAAATGTGAACAATATGCATGTGTTAGTCAATGTAAATAATTTCATATCAACCATTGAATTTAAAATAGTAAATTAATATTTTTACTGAAATATTAAACTAGTATGTGTTCAAAATATTTATGGAAAATTGTTGAATGCTTCTACCTGAAATCATACACAATTCTTTGAACATATGTAAATTCTGTAAAATATCAAAGTTTTCAGTATTACAAATAATAAATCTGCCTAATGAAAAAATTTACTTTAAATCAAAACCTTTATGTCAAAATAGCTTTTCATAATTTATTTCCAATCTATTTTAACTAAAAATAAACGATCAGTGTATGTTGTTAAACTGTATCGAATTGATCATTGAATGTTAACTGATAAAATATTCCTATTAGGTTATGATTTTTTATGACTCATTGATTTTCACTAAGAAATTGACTTACGATATATCATCATTACGATTTTTACGATAACAGATTCAATGTTAAAGTGTTTTGTCGAATTATTTTATTTTGTCTCCTTATTAAATTGTATGTGAGTTTTAGGTTTAATTGTTTTATTAAAAATCACTCAAATACTTCAAAACCATTATGCTTACGAAAAAGAGGATAATTCTTATGAAGAATACAAATAGATAAAAAAGTTAGTTATAATACACAACAGTATTTACATGATGTCAAGAAAACAAATCAATCTCTTTTGTACAGTTCAAAGTTTTGTATGTTTTTTTGCCTACTTTCTCGATAATAGATAGTTCATAAAAGAAAATTTCATCATAGTTTCAAATCATTATGAATTTTTTTATGGCACAGCCATTCATAAACACACATCGACTTCAATCAATCAAACATCTTCAAAATAGACCCTGGAAAATATATATCTGTCAATCAAAGTTGCCAAACTTTAGTTTAGAATACCAAAATAAATGAATGTTAACGAAATAAAATTCAAAAGGATGAGAATAAGAATATCGATTTTAACAAAAAACAATTCAGTAAACATACGAATTCCATTTCAGAAAGTTGTAGGAAAATGTAGGTTACCAAGTCGAGGAATACAGCAATGTAAATGTATTAAGTCCAGGTTTTAAAACATAAAGACCTGTCATTCTGACCGATTTCTTGTGATATCACCTAAGGTTTAAAAATCGAGTATAGAGGATCTTAACAGAGACGTTGACAGCTTTCGATGTGACCTACTCTAGTAGTTAATTATTTCATAAATTGGTCTCATACCTTCATTTGAAGTTGTTACTAGTGTATATGCTTAACACTAAATATTGTGACAATGACACAACTAAATCAGCATTTTCGGGTTATTTATAATACTATTCAATACAGTATTTAAAGCTTCATGACTGTCCAACGCTGTCGTCGATACCGATGAATCAGTTGAGTATAATCCATCATAGTTTTTCACAAGAAATTCTGCTTCATCTAGTCAGTTATAAGTGTACGAAAACTATTTACATGAGAGATTTATGGAAAATTTTTGAAATTGAAAGTTACTTTTTACCTTTACAATTCAGTCTTATAATATGACTATGTCTATTTACTAACAAGAATGATCTCAAAGTAATGATTTAATGATTATCAACTCTCTAATCAATATCAATTTTTAGTGAGAAACTGTTTTCAAGTAGGTATTATCTATTTCAATCTAATTCTCGTTTATTTGTCTTTTTTCTATCTGAAAAACATACTTTATTTAGAATCACCTTTCAAATATTTCAAAATCCATTTTATCTTCAAAGAAATTGTCAAATACTAATCTCTTGATTAATGAAAATGATAAATTATTCCAGAATAATTCAATTTCAAGTAAGTATTATTCAAAAAACTACCTTATATGAGATATTTATAATGTTTTTTATGTCTTTATGTCATCAATATATTTATTTCATCCTAATTAAATAATAATTATTATTATTATTATAAAGATTTCTACACAGATATAAAACTGTTATTGTTTTAAAAGAAAACTGTATACATTTTTACACTAGTGATTGTTTGTTTAATGCTGATCGATTTCAATTGTAATTATTTAACTAAAATTCATTAATAATTATTTCAATGAATTTTTAATAATTCAAAAATTGTCGAGAAAATTAGAGATTAAAGAAGTAGTGTAGTGATGGTTCAAAGAATTATAACTTATTCGATGTGAATTACCTTAAAAATTACTTATTTATTACATTAAAATATAATGTACTGGTCATTCATTAAATTGTACATCAAGTTGTGCGTAAATCACTTAATTTCCTTAATTAATTTACGCTTGTTACCCATAAGGAACCATGGTCCGCTGACCAGCGAATTATTTTCTGTCGTCAGCATTTTTTTTGGCGAGTTGGATTGCTACGGGATCGGGTCACTAACTCCATATCCAACCACCCTCCTTTATCCGGCCTTGGAACCGGCAGTAACCCCAGAAGGGCTCCAGGAGGAGTTTTTAGAATTAACTATGTGACATATCTCCACTGGCTGATTATTTCAATGAAATAAAATCAATATTCATGTTACATAATAAAATATGTAGTTATAAATGACTATTCTACAGTCCATTATCTACTGATCTAATTAAATATCAAGTAGTTATTAACATCTCCAATCATTATGAATTTATATTTAAGGGTTTGAAATTTATTATTGTTAATACTAAGGATTATAATTATTTCAATGTGAACATCAATAGTGAAATTCAGACACATCCAACTAACTAATATGAAGTAGGACGAAACGCACGCTCTGCATCTTACTTCTAGCAACAATTCAAATATACTTAAAACTTGAAACTAAAGACATAATCCTCTCACGATTCATTTACTGTCTTTGAATACCGTACAGTTAGAATCCTTAATATCAGCAACAGGAAAGTTCAGTCACTTTATATATATATATATATATATATATATATATATATATATATATATTCCTCGGTTTCCTAATTTAGAGCTTTCAAAGTTAAAATTCATTTGTATTCACTTTACAATACCGTTGTTTATTCAAAAGATTTTACATTAATCTGCATGTTTTTATTGAATATATTTGTTCAACTTATAGATGTAAATAGTTCTTCAAATCCAACTCTCAATAATGTTCATGAGGATACCTTATCAAAAGTATCGAAATTGGAAAGTTTCAAAACAATAAATACCTTGGTTACTTCATCAAATAATATTTATACTCATAATTCACAAAATGATTCAATGAGAATTAAACAAACATCTCAATTCATCACACAAAACGATCCTTCTAATGAAGACGAGAATAATCGAAACTTTACTTCATTAAAAAATTCTATCATTAATAATTTATCCAAAACTCATCAATCTGAGTTGAAACAATTCATCACAAATTCCTCTTCAATCGATGTTAGTTCTTTTGAAAATAACACTCAACGACAACTTATTCCCCTTAATAATGAACAATTGAACGAATTATTAAAAATAATCAAGTAAGAATCAAAAACGTCACATATATTCAATGTAATTTTAATTTAATTCAATTAAGAAACATTCTAAATGAATTTCATTTTAAATATTTTATTTTTTTAATGTGCAATCATTCTATATTCATGTGGAATTTATTATTTTAATGACACAATAAATAACAAATCTTTAAAACAACTCTCTATTGTTGATTTAATAGTATTCTTTCTAAGATTGCTTCATAAATCAACTTATCATAAGAAATATGATTTGAGTATTTAATGAAAATAAAAAGCTTATCAGAATGCTCGCTGTTTCTGATGTAAAACAAATAAGTACGTTTAATAATAAGACCATTTAAATAGGTGTTTTGAAATAGTTCTTTTAAAATCAAAGTATATTTACTAGATATAAAAACATCAAAGCAATGTACTTTGTATAGGATGTAATATAAATATGATACATTAGTTTATATTGTTACACGAGTAGAGAGGAACACTAAAAAGTATAATCATAACATATCAACCACAGCTTGAAAATTTACAGCGCAAAAAAACTTAGACAAGGGAAACTGTTAAAACTGAGGCATCGATAATGCGCACTGATAAACCTATGTGTAGAAAATACACATACAGAATGAATATATTTTAAACATAAAACTTTATTCTAATTATATTACAGTTTTAAGTTATTTCGGAATGTTTTCCAATCTATGGTCCTCTAATACCAGATAGACATTCTTTAGAGTCTCTAAGTTTCCCAACACAAACAAATGAAATGAACAATAAAACGAATAGATAATAAAATACAAAGAAAGAAAATTACTAGCAAATGATTAAGGATTTAAAATTCAGTGAGTAATGGATGGATTCGTGTCGTTAGAATCAATTTCTATATCCATCAACTAATATCTAGTATCCGTAACTGCACAACCGACATAGCTATTTATCCATTGCTTCAACAAGTAATAACTGATCTCATCAAATGGTACACTATTTTCGTTTATTAGACTGCAAATTATGTTCTTATTCAATTCCACCTTAACCAACATTCATAAAAAAGTAAGTAGATACGTGAAAATACCCCACTGATTTGTATTACCGAAGAAAACATATGAACGAATATCTTCGTTGAGAATGAATCTAGGATAATTGCTTAAGAATTCAAAATTACACTAACGAATAATAATGATAATAATAACAATTATAATAATAAAGCTTTCTTCCCATAGGTCTTATCAATGAATTAATGAATAAGATTACTTTTCTTTATGACTTTTACAGCCAGATGAACAGTATTCCAATTCGAAGCGAATCTATGAGTTCACCTTCACTAGTATCAAGTTCAGTCAATAATACTTTGATCAGCTCTAGTGAGTTGTTAACACTTCCTTATTCTCATGTAGCTGGAGGTTTAGCACAATGCACTACTACTTATTGCTGTTCCCATTATCCAAGAATTAATAGTAGAGTTGTGAATCATAACAATGATTGTTGTATATCATCGTTTCATCATATTTGTTGTAGTTCTACAAATCCAATTTTAAATCCATCAATTAATTCTTCTGTAAATAATTATCCAAGTAATTTATTCAGTACAATGTCCAAGTCTGTGACAGTCAATGGAAGTGATGTTGGTGGTTGTGGTAAGTTTTTCTACTTGTTTTTCCACATCACAAACAATAGTTTAGTAGATGAATGACTAAACACATCAGGCTGCAATGATTGATTACTGATATTTTATCATCAGTTCGGTTCGAATAGTCAGTAGAATTCTATTTTGATAGTACATTTGATCGACTGCATTATGTTGAGGTTATGGTCTATTATTAGGGCGTGGACAGATCCATACTAGGTACACTGTAGAAACGTTAATTGTTGACATAGACTACCATATTTCAGTTATCAAATTACAAAGCGTGTTGATTCTAGAAACTGCAAAGTATTAGGTAAGACTATGTATCTACTGGATATTTGTTTGAATTATCTTTAACAGTAGAATATTTCACTAGTTAAAAAGGTTCTGAGTGGTCTCTATTAACTTCCTTATGTGTATAATCGTTCATCAAGTATTCTTCACATTCAGATGAGAACAACACCTGACAGTATGCTGCCTCTACTTTGTACCTTTTAGTGAAATGGAACTCATTTGGATGTCACTAACTCTTGAGACAGTGTCGAGCGTTGACAATGTGCAAAACCCTACATAGATGAGCATTTGTCGACGACTGACTGCAGCCTCTCGTAAAATTGATCTTTAACGTCTTCATTGTATTCATTGGTAGGCGCATAGCATTGGATGACGTCCATTGCAATGCCCTCTTTCTTCGTTTTGAAGGATGTTTTGATGATCATGAGTTCATGAGATTACCGTCCTATCAGTGCCTTTTGTGCTTATTTGGACAGCATTAATGCAACTCCTTGTGTGTGTAAGGCATTCCCTTTTTTATGCCCTGAGTATAACGGCAGCTCTCCTGAAGCTAGTGTTAGTAATCCAACCTGTGTCCAGTGTGTTTTACTGATTCCAAGATCCTTTACGTTGTATCTTTTCATTTCTGCAGCAATTTGGTCTTCCACTATGCTTGAACCTCCCATGTACTTAAAAAGAATGCTTGCTCTGGTTATGAGAAGGGGCATCGGCCCTGTAACTTTCGAAGGAACTTGGGTTTCTTCACGAGACTTCATAACTCTTCTTAAAGAAGACTTTCTAACTCCCAGGGCAGAGTTAAAATGGTTCCAATTATGTTTTCTGGTTAGCGTTTTTTAGGGAGTTAGTTTCTGTTTATGGGACGAGGTCGCCAACCCCATGCCCAACCTTCCTCCTCTTTATCCGGCCTTGGGATCAGCAGTAGCTTCAGAGTGGCTCCAGGCGCAGTTTCTTAACGTCCAACACCAGCTTATTAATCTGTTGGGAAATCTGTATATTACATTTTAGTCAGTTTATGCTACCTTGATACGTTTCAGTAACAACAACCCGTTATTTTTATTATGCGTTCTAAGTATACAAACTCACTAGACAGTAACTATAGTTACCTATCTGTGACCTTGTGCTCTAATAGTATTCTTGGATTAGTAATCGTCTGTTAACATTTTTTCATTTGCCTTTGTGATAAAAATGGTGCACATGTGTAAGTCATATGTTTCATCCCCTTTACCTAAAATTGGTCTAAATAACAATGCTATGGCTATATACGTACATGATGAGAGGACGTGGGCGAAGATTGGCGAGTCATTTACGGATATTTCAACTGGCTTTGTTTCTTATTTTAGTGCTTACTGGTTTAAATACAATAATATGACTCATCTCTTCACTATTCTCTGCTTTTATCTCCATACCTAGTCTTCCCCATCTTATGGTATAGATATGATGTGCATCATATCAATGCATAAGAGATAAAACTTCATTAGATAGACTAACGGTACTATCAACATGATATTTCTTTTTTTTTAAATTGCTTATTTTAGATTGTAAATGTGACCAGTTGTGTTTATGTAGAATTAGTTTTGGATGATAAGCCTATTATCATATAAGTCTATTTTTTAGCTTTAGTCATACACCTGAATTTAAGGACATGTTAACGAAGGATAGCCGTTGTTTTGTTTCATTATTAAAGACAAAGACCCAATTATGAGTAGATTCACGGGTTGGGGGCGATAGAATACTGTTGGAATGAGTAGATATCAAAATCTAATTTTGAGGTGATATTTTTTACAAACCTTTATTTATATTTTGCTTAAGATTACAACACTTAGAAATACACATCTAGTCATAATTGAGTTGGATTATTTTGTATTAAAAAGTAACAATTAGGAATTTTGTGATTACTAACACTCTAAACGTGTTACTGTAATACACGCCGAGAGTTTTCAATCAGTCGTTGAATCAGAGTTACTAAATAATAAGGCAATTATGCCCAAAGTTTCCGGTATGTTTGGATTTTTAGTCAAACGTTCAATGCTCATTGTTTCATACTTAACTATTGGGTTTAACACTTATGTAGTCGTATAACGGGAAAAGCTTCATTCTTTTTCAGTGTTGGTTACTTAAGTCTATCGCATTTCACAGGAATCGTTTTCTAATTGTTGTTAAGTTGACATATAAAGTAAATTTGATGAGTCACTTGACTTTTCGTTTGACATTAAGTCAGTGTGTGAATTATTCAAATTGCTGAAAGTCATCACTCATGTTTCCATCGTAGGGTTAGTATGTTTATCTGTACGTACACATGAATCATAAACACGTTCTTCAGAATCTAGCTGCGTTCCTTCGAATCGGGCAGAACACAATAGCATGTAGGTATCATAAGGAAAAATGGAACTTGAAGTATTTGAATGGCTGCTTATTCTTTTCTACTTGAAAATCATCTACCTTGCTATAAATCTATACCAAGTTACAAACGTTTGTCTCACTTTTTTCTGGGTTAAACAGAATATACTGTGGCATGTTCCACCTATGTCATTTCAGCTCATTGCAATTAGTTTTCATGATTTCAGTGAAACTCAACAATATCTATACCTCTATAAAATTATCATGTGCTCACTAGTCACTAACTCCGTGGGGAAGTTTTTTCGAGTTGTAGAGAGAAAAGAACCAGTGGAATATAATCCAGTCGATTGTGAAGCAGCACCTGCCGAAGACAGTGGATTGATTGAACTTAGATATTAAAACCGTCGGATGCCGGCTCAGTAGTATAGAGGCTAAGCGTTTATGTGCGATTCCGAAGGTCTTGGATTCGATTCTCGTGAGCGACGGTTGTGGATGCTCACTGCTGATGAGTCCCATACTCGGATGAAACGGTCATCCAGTGCTTTCAGGTTTCTGATGGCGGTTTGATAATGATCAATTCATGATTTTACCGAAACTCATTAATCTACATAATCTTAACATGGAAATTAAGTTATCAATCATATCCATTTAGTTATACATTATTTTAGTTACAATTAGATTAATAGTAATGACAGTATTTTCTGGTAGCTCATAGATAATGTTCGTTTAGTTTGTAATAGAAAAAAATTATTTTCTTATTGTTTTCTTTTTCAAAATTGGATTCATGGTTTGTCACAAGACAATTATGTAAATAATCATAAATTATCGTCTTCTAATTTTTTAATTCATTGGAAAAAAGAGAAAATACGTGAATCTGTTGAAGAAGGTGGAATCAATTCATTAAATGAATTATATGATAATAATGGTACATTTCCACATCGACATTATCAAAATAAAAATCATGGTAACACCTTGAAAAAAATAGAGGATGATCGAATATCCGTTAATAATACTTCTTTGACGAATTGTTCATCGCAAATTATTTATCATGGTAAGTGATGTATGAATCATAAGGTGTAAAATTTTGTTCATTGAAATGGAATACAACAAGTTTATATATTGCCATTTTCATAAATGTCAACAGAAACCCGTTTCTTTTTTGAACGAATTAGAATAATCCTAATTTGTACATGTATTAGTCAATGAGGTGACTATCATATCTTATTGTAAATGCTAACATTTTATTTAATAATACAGATCCCTTTACCAATCAGTTCGAAACACTTGCATCGCCACGTGAACTAGTGATAGACAGTGAAGCAGTTGAGCGTGTTGACCGCTTCACTTATCTCGGGAGTCTGATCAGCGCTGATGGCCTGGTGTCTGACGAAAACTCAGAACGGATACAGATGGCTCAATTGGCTTTTGTCAACTTGCGTCATTTATGGCCTAGGCGAGATATCTATCTGCTAACCAAAGGACGAGTCTACCGCGCAGCAGTTTCTCCATCCTACTTTATGGCTGTGAAACATGGCCAGTAAGAGCAGAAAGTATTTGTAGGTTACTAGTTTTCGATCATAGGTGTCTTTGAAGCATTGCTCGTGTATTATGGGACAATCGAGTGAGCAATGCTGTTATTAGGAAACGAGTACTAGGTAGGGATGGCAGATCAATTAATGAAGTAGTGAAACTTTATCAGTTGAGGTGGTTGAGACATGTGTTACGAACGCTCAACCACCAACTACCTCGACGAGCTATGTTCTGTGATGTAGGAATAGGTTTTAAAGAAGCTAGAAGTGGCCAAACTAAAACACTGCACAAATCCATAAAGTCACTGATAAGTGGACTGAGTCATGTTGGTAAGTGTAGACTGTCTGGTTGGGGCCCGCGAGATGATAGTATTCGATGGTTAGAGACCTTGAACGACATGGCTCGAAACCGTTTACAATGGTGCGGGTGCATTCATTCTCTGTGTTCTCTCAAATCTTAAACCTCTGGATTCTTCATCACCTTTATCTTTTTCTTTTTAAGTTTATTTCACTAAATCATACTTCCTGACTAATATCTTCGAACCCTAATCTTTCCGATTACTGCTAATACTTCTACTCTCTCTACTTCTATGGGATTTGAATTGACAGTTGCATCTCTGTGCTAATGTGGTATGGCAACATGAACTGATGTACCTACGTATTAGGTCCTACGTTGTAGCTGACTGAAAGATCCGAACAACATGGAACTTGACACAAATATTTATAGTTTTACATTGTCACATTTTATTTCACTACAACTAAACAGAAACTTAACATCATAAGAATCAAAAGTCTGGAATTCATAATATTAGGTTCAAATAGAAAATAAAATCTAAGAAAAAATACACTAAAAGAAAGATAAATGTAATTTGAATGATGGAAAGTATATGATAACACCGGTAAGCAACGTAGGACTCGGCATACATTTTCATTAGTTCAAGTTACCAGCAAATTATTATGGCTAGATGAAATTATTATTATTTTAGGTAAACGTATATTGGTGAAAACTATACACCAAATTAAGTTGCGACTTATTGTATATCAATTTTTTATTATCGAAAATAATAAAATCTGAATAGTTTTATTTACAGTAGGCTATCTTGATAAGTATAGTATAATAATTTAAATGTGGATAGGACCTTCCTATTAATTGATATTAAAAAATATTCTAATTTTTGCATAGTCTCAAAAATTATCAGTTTCTTTTGCGCTATTTTTCTTTGGACTAATGTTTAAGCCATTATAAATGTTTCAAGGAATATACTCTGTTTAAAGTCAGTACATAGTCAATTATCCCTTACCACATAACCGTAGATTTAATTATAAATCACAGTATCGTTGAACAGTAACATTCACATGTTGATTAATTTTTGTTGTTTTTTGTTAATTTATCAACAGAAAATCTTTTTATGCATTTTTAATAGTTTTTTCCACTGTCGTCGAAATTTTCTTATAATTCATCATTTTCCAATTATTTCACATTTACTTATCTGCAAAAAAGGAATATTGTCTTTCATTTTTTATCTTATATTTTTGAAAAAAAAATTGTTTTTCTCATTTGTAGTGTGTACTAAATGATTTAACGACTGCCTTTAGCTTAAACAATTTATCGTCAATCATCACTTATTTATCCCATAAAGTGGATTAAATCATGTTCGATTGAATTTGTTTAGTGTTAACAATTCATTTTATAAATGTTGGATAACTAATGGTTAAATGGAAGTTACTAAATTCAAATGTAGATTGTTTACTTGTCAAATTATAGCTTAATCACAATTTCGCTCATCAGGTCAGTTAGAATAGAACATAGAAAAACAATTCGATTACATTATACTGTTAGTACGTAGTTTCGATTTCTTCGCCAACTGAAGTATAAAATTCATTTCTTCTTTTAGTAACTATGAAAATATTTTCTAAGTGATTGGGAACGTTAACTCTCAATCATAAAGCGATAATGTAACATGGAACGGTAGCTACGATTTACTAAACGACCAATGTAGCAGCAGCCTCAGCAACAGCAGGCCTCAACATACATAAAGGGAAAAGCAAGATTCCAATACAACACTACATGTACCAACTAAATCACTCTTGATGAAGAAGCCTTGGAGGACGTTAACACCTTTACATATCTGGGCAGCATCATTGACGAGCAAGGTGCGGATCGGCAAAGCAAGGACAGAATTTCTACAATTGAAGAACATCTGAAACTCCAAACAGCTATCAACTAACTCCAAGATCAGGATTTCCAATACAAATGTCAAGACAGTTCTACTGTATGGAGCGGAAACATGGAGAACTACCAAAGCCATCATCCAGAAGATACAAGTGTTTATTAACAACTGTCTACGCAAAAAACTTCGGATTCGTTGGCCAGACACCATCAGCAGACTCCGGCAGGGGAGGAAATCAGGAAGAAGCGTTGGAAGTGGATAGGAAACACACTACGTCACAAGACAATGCATCACTTGGAACCCTCAAGGTCAAAGGGAAGGAGGAAGGTCAAGAAACTTATTAGTCCGAGAATTGAAGACAGATATGAGAAGAATGGACAAAAATTGGATAAGAGTGGAAAGGGAGGCCCAGAACAGAGTAGGCTGGAGAATACTATTCGGTGGCTTATGCTCCATTGGGGGAAACAGGTGTAAGTAAGCAAGTAAACTATTGATATTGAACCAGGTAGTCGAAAATATGAACTACGTGAATATAATTTATTATTGATATCAAATCAGTTGTAGATCAAAGCTTATTCGGTCTGTATTTAATGGATTTCCTGTTCCAATTCGATTAAATCAGGGCCTAAATGGTTTATGAAGCTGAAAACTCTCTCCTTGTTTAACTCAAAGATAAGTATGATGATTGCACAATAGTAATGCTGCTTATCTTGATATAGCTTGCTGATATATCATAACTAATGTAAGAATTAATAAGACTAATAATTAATTTGTAAATTACAAAGCGTTAATAGTGTTATGAACAAAGAGTAGAAGATCAGATGGGATAAGTGAATTATTCTATGAAGCCACAATTTACTTGCAAACTGTGTACACCCTATCTTCAGACTTCCACTTGCAAAACAAGTAGATTATTGGCTGTCTTCTTTCAACATGTCTTCTTGTCTTTAAAACACTCACCTGGATCCGACACTACTGTCTTCAGCAGTAACTTTTGGGTGAAACACCGCTGCATACTGTTTAAAAGCTACTTTGTGAGTGGTATACAACACAATAAGTTTTAAACATTGGTCATAGTTTTCATACTTGAATAACATAAATTAGATAGTAAAAGCTTATGAAATTACTATACCACTGACTGTCAATGTCATATAATTTGAGTGATATTAAGGTAACTATGAAGAGTAGTTCAGCCAGAAAATTTTTTGATAATGAATCAACTTTTTGGGTTGAAGATATATTGATAGGACTTGAGGGAGACCCTAATAAATCGATGAAACCTTTAATTAAATATTTTATGATTATTGTATGGTGCAGAAAGTCTTAATTGATTTATTATTTTGATATTCATGTCACTAGATCTTTCTCTAGAAATATTCTTACATGTAATTTCGGTACTTTATAGCCAATCTTTTACAAATAAATCCACATCCACAACCAAGAGTTGGTGTTCACTCTGGGACTCAAACCAAGTACCACTTAAATATTGAACCCAGGTAGCCATTCACTTGTCCAACGGGTATGAAATTTAATTCATTTAGAAGTTGTTTGGATTGGCCATGGTGAATATTAGCTGTGCGAGTCTCAAATAGAACGAAATGGGCATCCTGAGATCCACTGCTAGCTACACTCCATTTTATACCAACATGTGAGATAACGGTTATTTCGAGGCAATCCGCATAGGATACCCATGACTCATCCAAGACTGGTCAAGTTCCAATCAAAAATATTAATACTATGTTAATCCAAACAATTTCAAATTGAGCAAATCCTCACCGTTTCATGTTATACTATGAGCACCAAATCTCCAATGTTTTAAGTTTTACGCTCAATTCCAAGAGTGCTCCCATACTTATCAAACTCATGATCGTACGTTCACGTAAAGGGCTGTGATAACTTACTAAAATCGATAAATCCCTACATTCTCGTACACAGAATCTTAGCAGGGTTATTATCAGAAGAGGTAACTGTTTACATAGCCATAATCTGTTTCTGAAATTTAGATTAATGCACTTAGTACAAACCCAGAAAATATCAATCAGTTATAAAGAGAACAATAGACACACGCACACTAGATAATAGCAGGGATGTAACAAAATGAATCAATAGTAATGGGTGGTCATGTTCACATAATTGATTTAATTGCATGATTAGTAGTTAAATTAAGAGGGTCAGAGTTATAGCCTGTCTGAGATAAACGAGTCTTAAGTGGCAAACTTTTAACCTAAATTTTATTCGTTGATTGACTCTTATCGATTGAGATCAACAGTATTACCCCAGTAATTACGAGGTCATCAGTATGTGTTTGTGGAGATTGTTAAATTTTATTTAAGCAATGAAGCGATCTGGATTAAACAAACATTGAGAACCAGGAAACACTAGATGGTCATTTCATCCTATTTTAGGGCTTCTCAACAGTGCGCATCCACAACTCTGGATCAGTAATCGAACCTAGAACCTACTATCTCATGTGTAAACGTTTAGGCTTTACACCACTGAGCATTGATTCAACAATACGGATGGATCCTGGCTTAGTGATGTAGAGACTAAGCGTTTAAGATCGAGACCGAATGTCAGGGTCGCGAGGTTGTGGGTGCGCACTTCTGAGGAGGCCCATACTAGAACGAAATGACTTTCTAGTATCTCCAGGTTCTCAATCGTTGTCTTAGATCGGTTCCTGACCTCAGTAAAATTTTTAGTGTTTATGAATTACGAATCTCATGAAAATATCCTACTATTGATGTGATAAGCTTTACTGGCATTATCTTTCTAATAAACGAATCTTTAGTCAATGCTAAATTTTCAGTGTATATTATAACGCTTCTTTGTTTTGCTATACAGCTAGCCATGAGATATAGTAATATAACACAAAAAGACAGAGAAACTTTATAGACAAATGTCAATAACCATAAAATGTAATTGAATGATTTCTTGTTCATTTTGCTCATAACAAACTAATTTCATACAATGCAACAGCACCCAATTTTATCTAGATACTGAAGCTAAAAGTTTTATGGCTATTAATAGACAGCAGACTACAGTGAACAAATACAGGATTTATTTTTACTGAATAAATCATGTTCACTAGGGCTATGCTTTCGCCATATTTTTAACACTTAGTATTTTGCACTGATAAGGCTACAGTACATAAGGCGAGTAGAGTAGAAACTTTTTTGATTCATGCTTTGTATAATAAAACGCTGACTCATTATCGTGATAACTAATATATATATATATATATATATATATATATATATATATATATATATATTCTTTAATGTTCACTGACGTTTTTATAATTGATGTCTATTACAATAATAAATTCTTCTCCCTATCAAATAGTCCTAGGTATAGCAACAACATCATATCTTTGTATGTAAACGTATTAAGATGCAAGTGTAGATATCAGTATATTTGACTGAAAGATGCTTTCAATGAAAATCACTATTCGCGGTTCTGGCAGTGGACACCAACCGCGCACTCCGCATCTACTAGAATGGCTTTGACCGACAGTCAATAACTTCATGGTCTGATGTAATGCTTTGGTTTGGTGAAGAAATGGGTTTTCATCACAGCTCTAATGTATACACTTATGATCGATGATAAAGTTAACATCCCTGGTAGTGGGTTAGTTAACGTTTAGTAGTTGAAGGTAGTTAGCATTAAAATTTAGAGCAAGGTTTCCTGTTAGTTAGAACTTGTCGGGAACTCATACCCAAAAATCTGCATGGGAGAGATATTTCACGAAGGATTCGGACCAGTTTCGCAATCAAGGACATAACCACCAATGAATTCAGGCCGTAAGTGAAGGTCTATAAAACTGAGATTGTAATGTTTTTGTAAAGCTGCTGATTTATTAGAGCTCGATGTATCTGACCGGTGACCTATTTCACAATTTTACACATTGACAAATCAACAACAGTCAGTCTCTTGACGGTTATTGGTCCTCAAGACCCTTCTAACCAGTTGGCCAATCAAAAGTTGCAGACATAAGGAAGTTTAGCTCCTTATTATATTCATTTCCGTGATGACTCAAAATTCACACAGTAATATGCTTGCAATGTGTGACCGCACAACACACCAAATAAGAAATCACACTTTAAGCACAACAGTAATGGGGGAATGGTAAAAAGTACAGCAAGTTAGTAGATTTACTGAAACCTTGCAGTAAGGCCAACAGAAACAATAATAACGTTACCTTCTGATTATGCAGTTAAGATATAAATATTCATGATCCGAAAAATAGTGCCAAGAGTTTCACCTTCAAACTGGTTCTGTCATATCAGCGATGTGCATATCAATTTATGTCCGAGCGGCAGCCAATATCATAACATTGAGTCAAAAAGTAGATCACTCGTCCAAATTAGTTCAACACTTGTTAAACAAAGTTGTGCATAGAAGTGATCAATGTGTGTTATCTAGAGAAAATAATGAAGCTACTTTAACGAACACACTATCTATATCTGCACACAAAGTATTCATTTCTTTTGATTAAACTTGTTCAAGCTAAATTGTGATTGGGTCATTTTGTACTATCAGCTGCATTGTCTTTCAATGGATCATTAGAAAACACATCGATTGAATAAAATTGGTTAATTTATTCCTTGTACTACAATCCTTTTCAAGCCAAAATTGATATCATGTGGTAACTTGCTTCATATTACATTTTAATGTTGAAGATTATTAACATAAGTTTTGGTGATTTGACATTTGTACATTGAAATCTAACCTAAACTAAAATAGTAATTCATCATTTCACCTTACTACACAATTCCTTTTAAATATCATTAATTTAATGATAATTTATACAAATTCATTTTCGTATTTTTCTACTTCTTTGGGATTTTTTTGAATTTCACTTGTTCATTTAAATTAAATTCATTCAGTAAAAATATTTGAATATGATGATTAGTTGAAGTTGTTAAAAGAGAAAGAAAAACATTTACAGAATCTTGAAAAACACTATCTAGTTCAATCTTCATGAGTAAATGTCTCTCATGATTTACTTACAATTATATCTTTTTTAAAGAGAAGAGAGATTTGTGCAAAATATATGTTCATTTAAATAATGCGCAACTAAAAAAGTGACGAAAGTAATAATAATAATAATAGTAATAATGGTAAACGCACATTTTTCTATTCGACTTAATCATTTTAATAAATGAAACAGAAAAAATAAATGAACTCATTAATCAGACTCATTATTATTATCATCATCATCATAACTATTAACAAATGTGAGTTTGTCATATTTATTCATTTTGTAAAAATGTCTAACATGTAAGTAAATACAAGAAGTTTGTACGGTTATCTATTTTAATATTTTAAAATATTTCAATCTTAAAAATGATCATTTATGTACTTACTATTATATACGAATATATATATATATAATTTCAGTAGAAATTCTTCATAATCGGAATATATTTTGCGTAATACGAAGAAAAAATGTCATCAAAATCTTATGATTATTCCTATGTAAAATTTTAAATAAGTTATACTCTATAAAATATCTACATAAAAATATTTTTCTAAAAGAAATCAGTATAAGAAGTATGGCGCCTTTTGGTGAAAATGTATGTACTACACTTTCAATTCATATCATTGTCATGTTTATGAGTTTGGAATTAAACAGTACTTTTCAATAGACATTATCATTACTATTATTATTATTATTACATTTGACATTATTAACATAAAATACAATTTCTTTTTGAATAAATAAAAAGCCTAAAATTTTATACTAGTTCCAATGTAGAGAGAGTTATAAGTGTACTTTTAGTCTTTTGTTTTAAGTATTAATCTCTTCTTATTTTATACTTTGAATTATCTATTCTAATCAATGTAATTCATTTTACTCTCTAATATATTTTTGTTGATTTATATTGGATAATAAAGAATTCTAGTTATTATTGTAACTTCTTCTATGCTAGATATCAACGTCAATCATGTTCAGAATGCATAGACAAACTTCACAATTATTAAGTAATCTAATTGAAAGAACACAACATCATTTAAAGTATACATTATTTTGAGCTGGAAATCAATTCAATCATCACAAACAATTATGTTCATTAAATGAATGATATTAAATTTGAATTTGTAGATATCTAGAAAACAACAATACGCAACAAGCTGTTTTTACTGTTATAATATAGCAAATTTCGATTGTGTTGTTAAAATGTTCATAACCATAATCAGTATTATTAAATTACGGTTGGCGATTTTCTCTCATGATAACAAAAGAGGAAAACTTATTCATTATTGTCTACGCCTAGTGAAGAATAGAAAGAGTACTGTTTGTCACACAACTTATTATTATTTCATTTTAACATTGAACACATTCAATTTGACGGTGTTTTAACTAAAAGCTATGTCATATAGTTAGATTAATGGAGTACCCTCCAAGTAACTGGTACGTTGGATGAATTCACACATGGCTGTGTTCATGTGTCATTTCAACTATAAATGGTAAATGAAAGATGATTAACAAGGCTTGGATGAAACAATTCATTCACGATCCTTAGTCTATTTGTTCTTTGATAGGTCAGAATAATAAATGTGTACATATCGATGATATGCGACCACTTGATTTGGTTACCCGAATTCAGTTTCCTAATCATTCTGTTTTGCTAGTCACATAACAATTTGGGTTAGTGTTCCAAAAGCGTTCATCCGTATCTGAATTGAACGACTGCGGGATGCAACAATAGATTGAAGTCTCTAGTTGAAACTTAACAGTCACTTACGTTTTCCGCTAACTTTATTCATCATCGTCAATGGGTAGTGTGATTTAAGTGTTATTCAATGTTCGCTTCAAGTTTCTACAAATAAGAGAAGCGTTGATTCAAATTTTCTTCACTTTGTATTTTACTCAACTTTCTTTAAACAAAAAAAGATTCTGTTACGTTGCTTTGTATTTATTTTAATATTTCAGGTATAAGCAATACATTTTCAGATTACAGTTCATTCAGTCCATCTTCTAGGATTACATATACAACTAATAGTTATGCTAGCAGTAGTAGCACACATGGTTTAATTCCAGGTCAATCTCAAGAAATGACCATTCAATCATCAAACGATGATCAGCTTTTATCTAATCAAATTCAAGATGGTATTCTCATGAAAATACTGAATACTATACAACAGTTAACAGCTAAACTTGATGCACACGTTGATCCTCCTGAAGTAATTCAAAATTGTCGAGCTATTCAAGCGTGTCTAGATACAATAACTGCTATAAGGAGAGCCAAATCAAATCAGATCAATATCGATAAACCAAACGAATCATATTCAACTACTAAGCATACAGATTCAAATGATAATCTACAATACAGAGAATGCACTTCCAAGCTTCAAGAAAATTCTCAACTTTTGTTGCCTAACTTTATTCAATCCTAATCATTCTTCTACTTGTTACCGTTGATAGTAGTCAAATATAATAATAGTTGTAATATTGATAACATTCAATAATTTCGTTGATTACAAGTGAATTTTTCCATTGAAAAAAGAAGCTTGATTCCCCCATTTTTACAAGAAAGCAAATAATACAACACTTTTTTAAAGGAGCTAAAGTTATTTTCGTAGTTATTTTTCTGTGGAAGGTTTTTATATGCTTTATTACCTTTGTAAAACCGTATCTACTTTAATATTATATTAATTAGTGTTAACATTGTTACCGGTTCATATTCATTGTTCAATTTCCCAGTTCTTCGGACAAAATGATACTTATGTTATGTTATGGCAGTCATTAAAACAAGAAAAATAGATCAGATTCTATCATGATTGTTTTTTAGCTGCATTTCATTTCATATTTCATATATTTACAAGAATTATGTCTTATTCCTTAAGGAGTAGTATCTCAATACATTGGACACTGAATAGTAAGTAATAAGTCGGTGGACTATTCATTCATCTTTACTAGTTCCAATTTTTTGTTTCAATTGTTACATATTTATACATGAAAATAAAAATTGTACTATTTTTACAGTTTCTGGAAAATAATAGTTTTTATATTTGTAGTTTAACGAATATTTTATTTTCTTGGATTTTTTTTAACTTTACATTAATTAATTAATTGCCTACTTTTAAAACAATATTGAAAAATTGTTAGTTACTATCGTTTTTTATAAATTATTTCTGATTAAAATATCTATCATGCAGAATCTTGCTTTCATAGAGATTTCGTATGGGTGGTGTGTACTATGTTCAGAAATTGAATGTAACAATATTAGAGGTTATTTCTTGAAGAAATAAACAGTGAAAATCATCGCATGTACAGAGAGAACCTGATAGTAGACTCAGTAGATCAATTGAGATGCTTAATCGCAAAATAGAAGTCAATCTACTAAGTTATACAGTTAAGATTTTTAAAAATCAGCCCCGTCATTAAACAAAAACTTTCTAGATCACTTAAGTTTGTTTATTTTTCAGTTTCAATTCAAAGGGACTGAAAAAAGCTACTTTTAGAACAGATCATAGCTATGATACGAGCTTGTATGAAGGTGAGACCAATTTAACTGAACTAAGGGATATTGGTCTGTTGAGTTGGTCATCAATGATCAGGCTTCTCTTTCATTAATTTTTGCTAACTGCACTACTGATACCATGTTTTCCAGACTATTTGGAATTATGTTGAAGAGAGCAAGAACAAGACATTGAACATAATAACATGAATCCATTTCATTTCGTAAGGTCTTCATCAGCTGCGTAAAACCTATAATATTAATATCCGACTGCTCTTGCGGGACAAGCTATATTGGTTGAAGTTCTAGGAATTTACATCTTCGTACTCGTGAATCCCTACCAGAGAGGCTAAGCAAAGGAGTAATGAACGGATCAAAATTGAGCTGTTTAGTGCAAATAGATTATGGCACCAGTATAAACGAATCTTTCTGAGTAATTAATCGAGTTAGTAATTTCTTGCTAAAATCGGTTCGACTCAAAATTCTTCAAACGGCAGAAGCAACAACAATTCGGTTTAAAGTTGGAGCTGTGTGAGCAAAAGAAGTAGATTCAACCATTCTTCATACCATGACCAACCCTTGTGCCAATCAAACACCAATAATTATCTTAACCAAACAATGACTTGATTTGATGAATATACATACAACATTTATTAGTCAAATATAATTGTTTTTGTTATCTTGATCCACATATACTTGTACTATTATTATTATTACTGTTATTATTGGTTTCAAAACACTATAAATCTTCTAAACAGATGATCAACCTACTACACATTCACCTCACTTAAATATTTCTTGTCGAATTTATCCGCACTGAACAATATCCACAAAATATTCGATCAGATTTGGGAACAGTATTATTATTTCTCTCGTCCTATCTGACCCATATTCTTTTTGATCATTGATGTCACAATTTAATTTAATGTATTAACTTATTTAAATTAACACTTCGGAATAGCTATCGTATTATTAACAATTTTATCTTATTTTACAAGCAACCCTAACTTCACACATGCTTTAATTTACAACGAATTATTTACCTTAAACCTTGCCATTTTTTGGATTGTAAATTTGAATATGTAATTGTAGAACGTGATGAGATTCTACTGAAAAGAATATTCTTCGTCCATATATATACATATGAAATAAATTTAAGTGTATATTTGTCAGTTAATCATTATATGCATATGGTATAGTGCAGATAATTTGAAATGTTATGGTGCAGTCTATATGTATGGTAGACTATATGGATATGGATCCTATGAATTCTCAATAAATCTAATAGATCCATTTTAGTAAATATCCGAAGCATATTTGAATTCATAAATGATTTTTTATCTCGGTAATTTGAAGTGATAGTATGTCTTTCATATATCATACTCCTAACTGATTAATCGGAGAAATGTATCCAAGGTTAATTGAAGGCTTAAGTTATAATGCAAATTTAGACAATCGAGATTATAGCTTATCTTGCAATTAAAGACTAATTAATTTATAATCTTTTACAATCACCACATTTAGGGGCGAATTTCTCAGCCGATAGTTTCACCAATTTCAAAGGTCTTAAATTACTGGAAACTGGGCAGTGAGACAGCAGGTTATGCTAAGTTTTCATATCCATATAAACCTTACTAACTTCGCGTTATTTTCAATAGTGAAGCATGAACTATCAAGAAAATTGTTGGTAAGTTTAATTTGTACGTACTTAGGTAATTCATAGGAAATATAGGAATTAATTGGATGAGTTTGTTTTTAAACTTCAGAATACCGCTATTCATATTCAGAAAATACAGAACTGAAATAAATATTCATTCATTTACGTTGTGTATTGCAATCATAAGATGGTTTATTACGTAATGCGCCTTCCTAACAATCATTTGGAATTTGAATATAAAAATATTTTACTAGTTGTGACAGAATGCTCCAGATTTATTTTTGACGAAGACATATTCAAACTATGAATATGTTCAGGAAACACCCTTTAGTTAGTCCGGTTTTTATCAAGATCTTATAGAATAGGGTTTGATGAGAAAAAGTATTAACCGAATATGCAAATAACGTAAACTATGAAATCATGGTAGCGTCACCAGTTCAACGGGAAATTTCCTTTACTTGAAACAAGGTAGGTTTCTAGTTGTTAAAGGGGGATTATGAGAACTAAGACATTATCCGTGACAGTGAGGTTGAAGGAATACAAAAGCATTGGTAACTCTTGAAACCACTATTTTATTAATAACAAGCACATACAGGTTTTAAAAATCACTTCTATTGATTTATATTATGGTTTTGTAAATTACCATCATCTTATCTAGTATACAACAGAAACATTCCAAACTTGTTGAGTTTTGTCACTTGTAAAACTGTTTTTGTTTACTTGCATTATAAGATCTTATTTTTATACGCTTGAATACTTAGTCAGGCGCCTGAAGAATGTGTAGCGCATATATTTGTTATACTGATAGGATATGTAAACACCGATTTTTCGTGCTTTGAGAAACACAATGTATAAATTTGTTTGTTCTGTCAAACTTGGTATCTGGATGCAATACGGCAACCCGTCAAATTTTACATTTACTGACAAAAGATGGTTTAGTAGAGTTGGCGAAACAAACTAATTGATTGGGATAGAAAATGTATTCCGATCAACTGACAGAAAAGCCGACTGACTGACGACACAGGTATATGAGAAAGTTGAACTACACAATTATATATTTTAAAAGCAGCCTTTGAGAAAAACGAAGAGCTGCTGGATCTGTAGTAATATATATTTTTTACGCGATCATTTTGCTTTCAAACCAGATCAACATGAGCCTTGAGGAATAGAAAAAGCTATCATTATAAGCAGTTTCATAAATTCCAACTAGACTAAAAAACTTCTGCAACATAAACATTGGGGTACTTAAATATTTACGCGTCAAACAAATTATTGAACTTTTGAATGGGCTGGGGTATTGTCCAAATGCCTAAACCGGAGTAGGGTGTGCGGATAATATGTGCATGCTTTTTATAAAATATCCAAATATATTTTCAAATGTCATAGGTTGTGGAAAATTTTTAAAAACCCAGATTCATTTGATCAGAATATAAGAATTGATAATCATGCAACCGTTAAAGGTATTTTAGTTCTATGCTAGTTATTTGTACTCAATCATATGGATAATTCTGAAATTCTGTTTCTGACTGTTTGTTTGTCCTAGAGGATTAGTCCACTGACTTGTATTTTCGAAATGTTCCATATAATCCCGATGCTTATTCTTAGTTCATTATGTCATTGCGTTCCTTAGCGGTTTTCTTGATTATTTAAATACTACTTTAATAATTGTTTTCATAGAGTTTACACAATTTGAATCATTGAAGTTATGAATACTAATAGGACAATTGTTTGATGAATTAACTTACAATTTCTTAAGATTTTTTTCGGCGACAATTCAAATTTAAAAAGTAGAGATATTACCTAGGATTAATTGTGATGCTAATATGTGAATAAAGCGCCTAAATATAAAAACAAAAGACTGAACTATGAATTGACTATGAATGAATATCATCGAGATAGAAGCTAAGAAAAATAAACATATAGATACTTTATTTGTAGAAATGTTTAAAAAATAAGTTACAACTAAACGATTACAGGGTTTGTTGGCTAAATGATAGAAAGCCGATAAAAAATAAATGACAAATGATTATGGAAGAATCTTATGAGATTGGTGAGGCAGAAGTTTCAATTGAAGGGAAGCTTAAAGGTCGACGGCGTCGAGAAGAGTATTGAATATTCACTTTACTTTCATTATTATTTGTAACCGGAACATTCTCTTTCTCTTTGTCAGATTGTTCTAGGTCAAGATTCCAAAAACCATCTGGTGTTGATGGTGGTGTTCGATTGGATGATCTCCGAGTAGATTTCTGACCAGATAGTAGATAGTAGAAAAATACTAAATTAGGGAGACTGTCAAGTTGAAAAAGTAGCTTAAAAGACAAATAATCTTTGAAGTCTGAACCATGTGAAATTGTCATTAGTTTCGGATTGAGAATTAGTGATGCATTCTAAACGGTGACCATAAGATTAATAGTTGAGCGTGTTTCAACGTCTGAGTTACATATCTGATTTAAAGTTTGAAATGGATTTATCTTTCTTGGGTGAAGTAAATATCTTAAAGACGATTTGAAAATTTTTTTTAGTGAAATTAATAAGCAAACGATTGTCATTCAATCACAGTTTTGTGTGTAAAAGAAGAACATTTTTATTTGCTATTGCAACACAATTATTAGCCACCTATAGGAATTGATATTTACAACGTGACTGAAGCAATGAGAAAATAGTAATTCCAGATTATTTTGTAAATAATATATGAATACTTATACTTTGATAGTTTAAATTAAATTGTTTGTAACATAAATAATGAATTTATAAGTTATTATGATCACAATCATATGTAGACTAATATCTACACGTAAGACAAAGGAGATAATGTTTTAAATTTAATGCTAATAACTTAGTCATTTAGTGATACATATTACGTAAAAAAAATTGCTTAGGTTGTAGGAAACAAAAATTGAATTGACATCACTTTGCTGTATACGAAGAATAAAATACTTTGTTCATTTGATTTTGATGAAGACATACACACGGACTATTTATATGAACATTATACATTGATCATAGTAATTTTTACGATTCAATAACACCCTACCAAAAAAAGGAATTAAGTAATTTGATATTGTTCCTAGTTGTATATTACGATGATTTACTTCTATCCATCATCATTTCAGAATAAAAACAACAAATTATGTAACAATGCTCTAAATCAATTAAAGAATACATAAATTAAATAGCTAATTAATAAGTCACATTAATTGAATCAAGTGAATGAGATAATTTCATTAAAAATATAAAACAGTTTAAGATCGACTGGATAATTTAGATTATTGTTCAAGACTTGAAAATCATCGGAAGATAAGTGTTTATTAGTTTTCCTTGTTGAATTATTACAACCTATTGACTTTTGGAGTAATGTAAGTAAATTGTATTTTGGATGGATATCCAGAATGGAGCACGATGTTTATTGTTAATCTTTCATCTTCTGGTTATGCCTGAAGATGTTTGTTAACATTTGTACGAATTGAAGTAATCACCAATTTACGTTACACAAAAAAGACATTCAACATCGCTCAATGTTTTTTTTTTAAAGATTCAACAATATTCCAATTACCATACAAAAACATTTAATTCATTAATTTCTCTATTTAAACAGATGTAGATTTTTTAGAATTTAAAATGAGTATCAAAAAGAAAAAGGCATCTAACCTTAGTATGAGCACATTTTTTGTGACGCCAAAGAGAGACTCTATGTTTAAAGACTTGATCACAGCAGTCACATGGGAAAACAGTATTTCCATCACTATTCTCTTCATTTGTATTATACTGTTTAAATGCATCGTTTGCATCAGTCTGATTCAAATCCTACTTGCATTAAAAGAAAACATCCCGCAATATGTAAAAGGTTTTACACGTTTTATGACAGTTGATTATTTTATATTGACATAAACAAAATCCATTCACAGAAATCCTGTATTTACTTACATGTTAAACAGCAAAGTTGCAAGCATAATCTAATAAGTCTCTTATTAGGAGGAGAATCTTTCTGATTTATCTTTGAAATTGATATAACCTTAGATACATGTTAACGTTGAGTATAGATTTGATAAACTTATCTTAATTACTTACTATTCATCTTCAAGTGGAATAAACCGACCATATATTTTTATTTTAACAAGAGAGAAGAATGAAGTGAGTGGCATAAAGTCAGTTAGTCAGTCAGTTACAACGTGGAACTTCGTACGTATGTACATAAGTTCATGTTGCCATAGCACATTAGCACAGAGACGCAAATGTCAAATCAAATCCCATAGTGATAAAGATAGTAGAGGTATTAATGGTAATGAAGAAGAATAGGGTTCGAAGATATTATTCAAGTATAATTCAGTGAGATAGGGTTAGAAAGACAAAGGTAGAAGTGCTGACGAATCCAGAAGATTAGGATTTGAGAGAGCTCAAAAAATGGATGCACTTGCGCCATTGCAAACGATTTTGAGCCATGACGTTCAAGGTCTCTAACAATTGGTGACTTTCGTCTCGCGGACCCCAACCAGGTAGTCTACATCTACCAACATGACTCAGTCCACTAGTCAGTGACTTCATGGATTTCTGCCATGTTTTGGTTTGGCCGCCCCTAGCTTTCTTCCAACCTACTCCTACACCACAAAACATAGCTCGTCGAGGTAGTCGGCGGTTAGCCATACGTAACACATGTCCCAACCACCTCAACTGATGAAGTTTCACCACTTCATCGATTGATCTGCCATCCTTACCTAGTACTCGTTTCCTAACGACAGCATTGCTTACTCGGTTGTTCCAGGATATACGAGCAATGCTTCTTAAACATCTATGATCGAATACTAGTAACCTACGAACATCTTCTACTCTTAACGGCCATGTTTCGCATCCATATAGGAGAACGGAGTGAACTGCTGCGCAGTACACCCGTCCTTTGGTTAGCGAACGGATATCACGCCTACGCCATAAGTGACGCAGGTTGGCAAAAGCCAATCGAGCTTTCTGTATCCGAGCTGAGATTTCGTCAGTCACCAGGCCATCAGCACTGATGAGACTCTCAAGATAAGTGAAGCGAATACTTCACTACCTATCTCTATTTCAGGTGCCGATGCAACCCAGTCTTGAAGCAACATTTTACATTTCGAGGGTGAGAACCACATCCCGAACATGCTCGCGTTGTTGCTTATGGTAGTCAGAAGACTCTGCATTTTGTCAGCGTCTTCACCGAATAGAACTATGTCATCGGCATATTCTAGATCAGTAAGCGACTTTCCTGTTAGAAGGTCAACCCGTGAAAAATCTGACGAGCTTAATTTTAACTCTAAGAGGATGTCTACGACAAAGTTAAACAAGAATGGAGAGAGTGGACAGCTCTGACCGACACCACTTGATGTAGAGAATTCAGATGACAGTTCGCCATAAGCTCTCCTTGGACCAGTGGTGTTCGAGTAGAATGCTTGTATAAGGTTAATGTACTTCTTTGGTACACCTTTCAATGACAGACACTGCCACAGAACCTCACGACCCACTGAGTCGAGTGCCGCTTTTAGGTCCAGGAACACGACTATTGTCGGACGTCTAAATGTGTGTCTAGGTTCCAGGACCTGTCGTAGTGTCAAAAGTGGCATAAAGTACTGCTGAAACCACATGAAATAAATGATCTGAATCGATCTTGTCAAACAAAACAACTTTAATTCAAAAAAAAAGGAACCTTCAAAATTTTATTGCACTATTCGACCACAGTTAGCCTAATGTAAACTGTACCTCTTAAATTGTTTTAGCATGTGCTATAATAACATTGTATAGGTGACTATTCATTTGAGCTCCATACTATTCCAGTTTAAAGAGTAAGAATCGTACAGAATATCTATAAAGTACAAGTGTGCTTGAGGAGATAGGAAAATATTTACAGGTCGAGTAGTTACGTGTAAAATAAGACAACAAACAGATTGTTGCCAGCACCGTTCTGACTACAACATATGACTTTATAATAGATTAATGTTATATATAGTTTCCAGCCCCTTTTCAGCCAAGAAATTATGTATATTAAGGTAAGTAGTTGAAAAGTATGAGCGAAATAGGAAAATATAGGAAACCACTAATGAAAACATTTTTGGTCAGTCTCCTTGCTTTCTTAAAATTCCACTCTTTTTAAACATATAAGGATATATTTTATATACCAACCATATTTACCTACAGAGATGGTTATAGGTTTGATTTTGTTAAAATATGTATCAATGACATCACTCTAATTTGTGCGTTTTCCGGAGCAAACCAGTTTAAAGCAACCGAGTTTTTAAAAGAATATGATGCAAATTATTACTACTGAGATAAGCACTATTTAAAGGAGGATAATAACTTGACAAAGCCATTTTAAAGAATATAGGCTTGAAGTGTGCATAACACGTATTTTAACGCCCCTAACCAACAACACTGAAACGTCAATGGGAATCGTCGGGGGTAGTTTATGAGGTCCGTTAAATTAGCTTACTTATTGAATTCATTGATTTCAAACAAATATAAGATTAACAATTATAATTGATAAAGTTACTATACAATTATAATTATTTGAAACGGTCAGTAGATCTCATAAAGGAACGGACTGTAGCGGTCCATCTGTTCATATTTTGACACTAATTTCCATATTTTTGGTTTTTAACCTGTTTCATTTTCTGAGATGCTAAAAATATGGATAAATGCACCAACATCTCACCATGATGTTTGATAACCTCACTAAACATTCACATCACTCAATATTGAGAAGTACATTCAGACCAACCGATTAGATAATAAATTTTGAATACGTTCGACCTTATAGCATTCAATTAATGTATAACTAGTTATTTAATCATGGGTCGACTTAAGCTGAATAACTATTGAAAATCAGGAAGTGTCCTTAGAAATCACTTTCCAGTAGTATGTAAACGCAACTGTATCGAAGATTAAAGTCAGGATCTTAAGTAATAACTAAAACCTTTTAAAGGTGCAAAAATGGTTAAGAGTATTGTTTTCAATAAAAACGACGGAAACGTACCTTTGCATCAATGCTATTGGCGACATGAAGTGGCTTTTTGGCAACCAAGGTTGTACGTTGCGGAGGATGTGGGAACTTGAAGTTTGGCTCGTCACGAGTCGGTGAACCACCAATAGATGGAAAGTAAGATTTTGCTTTATTACGTTTGCCCTTTGTTGATGCATCTAGGATGATGATAGATAAATATGGGTAAAACATAATAACGCGTTACAATGTCTCGTAATTTTCAGGCTGTTGTTCAACTGTCCTGACATTCCTTTAACTTTTGGTAGTGTGGTTTTCTATATCCTATATATATATATATATATATATTGTCCTTAATAATAAGATCATAGACAATCTGGACCAAGCACCTTAAAAAAGGATGCAGTTTACTTAGCTTAGTCACCTGTGTGAAACAGGAGCAAGTTATGAGTTACTTTTAACCGAAACATAAAGAAATGTACTTATATTTATGGAAAAATTTATAAGTACTTTGAATTCCGATGCAGCAATTTGACACTGGCAAGAATTCGCTTGCTACTTAACATGCGTCTCAATGAAATTATCACTGTTAATTTTACCATTATGATGCTGAAACAAATGAAATTAGATCGCCAGGTTCCTAATAGTGGTAGGATTGGCTTTGCGTTAAACTCCCGACATCATCTGTAGGGGAAATATTGATCGGCAGTAGTGATATCAGTTCAACATGTTTTGTATCGTAATCGTTAAATTGGCGACGATTTGTACTTTAGAACAAGTCTTGGTGTTTATTGTATTACTGTTACTAACGTCCAACATGAATTGGGCGATAATAAGAAATGTCACAAATATTCATTTTTGTGCTGTCTACTTTGTAGAAAATTTTTAACTATTCAGTTGCAAATAGAACTGATGAAATCGAAATTATTGTTGAGATATTCACAAGCAACAACTATGGTACAGTTCATAGATGCACAAACTACTTTTATCAGAATTAATACGCTTTCAAACCAGTGAATGTTAAATTAAAAGCACTATAAATTTAAAATAAAACAAATTACTGCTAGTAGTGGATTTCGGTGGGACATCAACTGCTGACATTTCAGATTCAAGGAAACCAGAAGGCAAACTTATATCATCGCCAGTATCATCAGATTTATGTTTTTCGTGCTTTTTTTCTTTATCGGCGACTGTATGATGAAAGTAACGACAAGACGGTCGATGCACACGTTTTGGTCGATAACAAGAAACCTGTACCTTCTCAGAGCCATTCAGTCCTGTTAACTTTTTGAGGTTTTTAACATATGGAAGGAATTCCGCACCAACAGGTCCACTTCGGTTCATAGGTGAAGGCTCTAACCTAATGTTGAAAAATTAACATTTGGAGAGAATTTGGAATTAATTTTAAAAGAGAAACAGAATAAATTACCTGCTTAGAAAAATTACATGTTTCTTTACTAAACTAATACAAAATTGTTTATCGATTGAAGGTAATGCTAAGATGTCTAAGTTAGGTAGAAAAATACATCTCATTTCATGAAAAATGAAGTAATTTGATGGTTGAAAATAAACTTCCATCAAAGTGCACATTACTTTTATGAGGTGAACTCGGACACAACTTGTAATATAAGTTTTAAAAAGCCTATTATAATTTGATACATATACTTACAATTTTTAAATGCAGACAACTACGTTAGATAACAAGATTTATTTACTAAAAAACATGAAACAAAGTCTGTTTACTAATCATCAACTGTAAGGTTGTTTGAAATTTATTGATTTGCAAAATCCCAAAATATGGCATAAAGGATAAATGAAAATATCATTACCTTTGTTGCAGGAACTCAGCTAAAAATTCTATATCATTTATCTTAGTAACAAGGTAGTAAAAATAATTATGATTTGTACTTAGAAAGTTGAGAGACTCAGAATACAGAATTACTGGTCAACCACTCACTAGTTCCATCACTATCAATGTAAAATTTTTCTTTTGTAATTATATTACTTGCGAGTAATCAATATTTGCTCGTTTTTTGTACCTCATTGGATTAATTATCAACAAACTGTTTATTCTCTCACTAGATAAAACATACTGTTTCAACAGCCATTTTCAATATTTGACTGCTTTCTGATAGACTACTACTGTTTTATTATCATTTCGAACGTAAGTCTAACTTGAACTAATCATAAGTGATCGTAGATTTACAAATTATTTAAAAATGTTATACATATTTCCCAGCAGCCAAGATGGTCTTTTTGACTCAAATTGATCTCAGGTGAACTATTTAGGTGAATCTGATAATAATAGCTAAAAATTCATACTGACAATAACTTAGCTGTACGTAATCTGATACATACTTGTTCCCTTTATTATTAACATGTGAGAAATCCGACATGGAAGAATCTTTGTAAGTAGCATCATAATCGGCCAAATCATTGTGATTGATAGCATTTTTTATTGCTAAGGAAGCATCATACATTTGGGATGGTGGGCTTAGGGAACCAACAGGAAAAACGCTATTAGTAAGTGTTGTAGATTCGCTTTTAGACACTTCGCCTTCAGATTGACTTTCATCAGGTGCTCCAGAAGGGGATTTACGAACACCTACAAAAAGAAAAGATGTTTTTAAACATAGTTAGGAAAAACCATATTTGCGGCAGGAAAAATCATTGGAATCAAAAAGTAACGAACTTAATTATTAGAAAAGTAAGTCATTTACGGTGTCTGAATCTAAATTTCCTAAACAAAACCAAACAGAGTGGCCTGATCTAGTTTTTCCAAAACAACACTTTATGTTAGTGTTTATGAGGTGAAACAGGAATACTTCATCAAGGTATTTATTTCGTCAACCGCATAATGCAAAGGATTAAGGTATATACTGGTTTTTTTATTTGAATCACGCTCTTTGAAGTTTAACTCATTCGAAACAGACAAAATGACCTAAAGAAAAGTGAAATTGCTAGGAAGTGTCTCACGCAATTTATGTATTAGAGTACTTGAACCTTTTTTGTTCATTGAAGCATGGTCAATTAAACCGCAAAAACAATTCGCATTCATTATACTGGCTAGCAGCATCGGGTAAGCCAAGAGATGACATTCCAGGGAATTATTGTCTGTCAGTGAGAGGTGTAGGAGATGAACTATTCACTGACGCTTATGGATAGAGATCTTAACAGAATTTAATCAGTTTGATTGCAATAACTCAAACAAATCATCTACCATTGTATAAATCCTGCACTGCAAGTCATAGGTTTTGGCCCCATTCATTTCATTTGAATATTTCTTACAGTTAGTTTTCCGTTGTAATTAACACGATGGATCCAACTCATCACCTTAGACCATGTTTGGTAATCCGAAATAAAAATTCTTCTCGAATCATAAATTATTTGCGGGTGATTGACTTAGTAACTAAATAAACACGTTCCTTTCATATAAGTAATAATTAGGAGTGGGTGTCATATACAATCAAGTACCTGAACCAAAATGCTGGTACTGGAGCTGAAAACCCAACAAACCTTTTATTAAACTGTCATATATTAGGTAGTGGAAGTTAACAATAAGTAGTTCTAGAAGTATGATGATGAAGCAATCAAATGAGATTTTACTGGTTCCTGCTCAGGATAAATTTAGCGGAATTCAGAGTAGAAACTAGATTATTGTTAAATTAGGACAACTGGCTTTTAATCTTGGAAATGGTTAATTATTATCTTTCCAAAAATCCAAATGTAACGTTCTGAACATGTAAAGGAAATAAATAAAAAAATACATACCTTTTGGTGTTGTGTTGTTAATGTTTTCTACATCAGAGATCTCAATATCATTCACTAGTACACACGGACGTTTTTTTATAGGTTGTTGAATACGACTACTCAAATTAGATTCTGACAGACCTTCTGATATCGATGATGAAATCTTGTAAAGATCAGACAAAGATTATATGCATCATTTATTGGTAAAAAGAGATGTTTATACCTATGGACGAATACCAGACTAGTAAAAAGGGTCTTTTAACATACACTTTACTCTAAATAAGACAAAATACTATGAAAACGTGGTTCTAAAATTACAATTTGGAACGGTGGATTTAGTTGTTTACAAACAAGCTTTAAGTATTTGGACCCATAATAATTTGAGTTTACTGAAGTCCAAAGTAAGTTAAAGAATATTTTACCTGACCTTAATAAATGTTCGAATTATAATTATATGTTCAAACCTAACTAGGAATACGGCTTTGTTGTGTGAAATATGGATGAGAACTCAATGTGACAAATACGTTAGGTACGTACTTATGTACACAGCTTTGAGTGGGACTTAACGTGAAAAATTGTGTAATTGCCCGGTGGTACTCAGAATACCTGATCATCAACCACGACCGGTGGTTGATAGTGATCAACAGGTATCAGAAACAATCACAATTATCTAGCCCCATTTACCTTAGTTTTTACTCTAGATATCCCTCTGTATATACCTCATACATTCCTCTCGAAACACATTGAGTCTAATCATTTTTATCACTATTGATACAATTATTTCGACTTCGATATTCAGTGCGTTATTCTTATCTCATCATGCTGACGTGATACTGAAGCATGATTTAAAGCAAATTTATGCTAGGTTTGACAGCGGCTATGACTTGCTGAGTAGCCACAAGCTATGGATCAAAACAATTTTCGAATCGAGAATAAACTTGACATAGTAAATAATCATTAACGAACATAAAACACATGGTAAGTTTTCCTATTAGCTCGTCAAACTAGATAACTTACTGTCATAAGTGGCCGTTTGTTGGTAGGGTTGAAGACAGTGTCCTTTAGTAAGTTGTTCCTTACTTTCGAGGAATCTCCCGAGTTAATCGTTGCGACGGATGGGTGAGAGCAATTAGAACACGCACCCCGCCCAGTCGAGAAGCTTTGTAATTGATGGCCTAAAACTTTTAGAGTACTAACGAGTGAAGCTTACGTAATCCATATATTTCTATCTCTTTTCCTCTTATCATTTCCTCCATTTGCTGCAGCTTTCTGCGAAAAATCAGCTAAGACGAAAGCCTTACCCGACGAGAGCTTTATTTTGATTACGCACACGAGTAATTTCATGATCAAATTCTAAAGATAATGTGAAATATTTACATTTAGAGATTTACCGCTTTGAACACTACGGAAATGCTGTCGTATTTCTGGGAGGAAGATATAACTAAAACATTTAAAACCTACTAGAAACAGAGGCAGAAATTTCCCTTGAGACTGATCGTCTCAAACTAACCAACGAAGTGTTGAATACACATTCTAAAGATTGCAAATTGCTTGAGTTCATCCTTAAACGAAGCGCGCCTCTACACCGCTCGACACAGCTGATGTTAATTAACAACTGATTTTCAACATGTAAACACTCATTCAGTTTCCCATAGAGGGCATAAGATGTTAGTAGCCGATAATAATTCTTTAAGTATTGTTAACTACCCAGAGTCTGTAGTGGAACATTTCTACGAAGAAAACGCGATTTGTGAAGAATAAACATTGTTGTACTCGTTTTGTTTAACTGTACCAAAAACACTTCTTGCGCCCGAAGTTCTCTTCGCGTTGCTGCCATTTTTCTTAACGCGCAGCTCCCCATGTAGTGCCTACTTCCTCCTTCAATAAAATACTCAAACATGAATTTATTTTTATTTAAGTGACGTGATAGTATGGAACATTTGATGGTGATCATAGACAATCTGGTATCTCTCACCACTAAAAGTCTATTTGCTTCTATTTAAGTTTACATTTAGAAAGAACAGAAGACCGGCTCTCATCAAATGTTAAGGTAATCGATTCCATTTGTTGATAGTTCAATGGTTAATTGGATATCCAGTTGACAAATAATGTATTCAAGTCTTGTGAACTCTTGTATAAGATCTGATTCAGTTATCCATTCTGAAATACAGTGATATTTAAAACATGTTAGATTTAAACTTATCTTCAACAAGTTCAAAATTTGTGGTCCAGTCAACTCTGGTTCTTCTATATGACAAGGGAAATAGGTGTAGTTTGATCGATCTATCATCAGCTGGCAGCTTTGCGATTCCGGGAATCAGCTAAGTCGCCGTTCTTCGATTCTTCTCCAACAGCTGGTTGTCTTCTTGGGCATTGATCTGCTTATTATGTGTAATATCCAAGTTTAGTATGAACAGATGCTGCAAAAAAAGTTAAAAATACTTCAACTTCGACATGGCAAAGGGCTCTACATGTCGACCAAACGTTTCCAAAACCCATAACAGCCATGGTAAATCAGTGTGAGGTAGATTTCGAGTTAAAGTTAACAATAAGATTTAGGCCAGATAGCTTAGCCTAAGTATAGTATTTTGGAAGCCAACCCAAACTAGAAACAACTCAACAACACACAATATCAGCTGCCCAAAAAATTTGTCCAAGTGAAGAATGACACTGAAGAACACATGAAACACACAAAACAAAGGAAAATATCTGATAACTATCCACTAAAGGAAAAGCTGTTAACGCAACTTCTTCAACAATTATCAACTGAAACCATCAACAGAAGCGAAATCAGATACAGGAACCAAAAAACAGATCGTACAATCAAACATAAAAGAAGTATCAGCAATTACAGCACGATCACTGAAACCACTTGTATTATGTGTAGCACACAAACCAATAGAATCACTTCAATCAATCCTATCTAGACCAAAGGAAAAACGAAAAAAGGTGATAAAGCTAAATATCATCTACAAAATAAACTGCTAATGCTGTGAAAAACACTACATCGCACAAAGTGGACGCCCACTTCAGCTTCGTTTGCGTGAACATCAATTAGCAGTCAAACGCCATGACATTTCCTCACTCATATCTATACACATGAACAACTATGGACATACATTCGATTGGAATTATGTTGAAATACTGGATAGAGGGAGTACAAAGAACACTAGAGGATTTTTGGGAGCTTGACATTCAGACCAATCAACGATCAGCAAACAGATCGAAATCAATCCGGTCAACGTTACTCTCCATGCATATATCTGCTATTTATCACCTAAATGTATCATGTTGAACTTCCGAGCATTTTTCTATGACTTCGAAATTCAAAACCATTTCGATAGTTTCGATGGCTCATTTTGAAGTCAATGACTTTCACTTTCATCTTTTACCTCACTTCGACCCAACCTCGGGAAAAACTAACTTGCTAAAATACACTAAAACCCGCCCATCGATTCTACCTAGACGTGGTGGTCGGGCCTGCCTATCGTCATGACCCAACCGAGCTATATTGGTTGGAACATATGTTTCTGTACGGTCTACCACGCCAGGCAGGTCGATCGGAGAACGATGAGATTAAAAGCAGCGACTCGACGTGTGAGGGCTAAGTCATACTGCTGACTGTAGGAAGATGTGACAGCAGTAAGATATTTCCCTAGGAAAACCAGCAGCTTCAGTGATGCTGCCTTCTCACAAGGAAGGAAACGGGTGAGAAAAGATCAAACCCAAAAGTGTCGCACATCACCTTACCCCACGTATTTCCGTCTCCGGTGGTCAGAGCTTTTCACCAAGAGTGGCGCTAATACTCAAAAAAACATTTCAAAAAACGCCATGCGTGACTCGCCTCAAGCAGATGTCCCTTGGGCTCTGTGTTTACGCTCCCAGGTCTCTCTTTATACCTTCCGTTTCAGGTTTATCAAGAAACAGCATTTCACGGTGTGAGCAGCTTCGATCAAAACATCTGGCCTCATACCCATAAAAGCACACGAGACCAAATCGGTCACAATCAAATCCTACACCTCCTAATAACTCTCTTATCTCCACGACCAACCCTTCTTTCGATCGTTTTTTACCTCGCGCCGGTGACGCAAACGGTCTGAGCTCACGAAACTATATTCCTGGTCTCTTGAAATCCCTCGTTGACAATCACAGAGGAATAAGTCTGACTATTATGGTGTCTAAAATATTGGCCTTATTAACACCCCGGCGCTTAACGAAAGCTTGCGAAGAGCAGAATCGAGAAAATCGGGCTGCTTTTCGACCTGGTCGTGGATAGAAAGACCACATTTTTATACCACGTCAGGTCCCAGAACAAAGACACTCGTTCATACGCTGCACAATAGTTGTACTTCTCGACAGTAAAGCGGCATTCGATACCGTTGATCGTGAGGTTCTGTGGCAGTGCCTGTCATTAGAAGCTGTACCAAGGAAGTACATAAACATTATAAGAGCTCTCTACTCGAACACTAAAGGTCGATTTAGAGCTAAGGGCGGTCAAACCAAAACATGGGACAAATCCATGAAGTCATTGACAAGCGGACTGAGCCATTTAAGTAGGTGCAGACAACCTGGTTGGGGTTTGTGAGATGATAGTAATTGATAGTTAGAGACATTTAAAGACGTGGCTCAAAATCGTTTGCGATGGCACAGGTGCATCCACTCTCTGGCGCGTAACGGTGACTGTGGCGGAGGTTTGTTTTCGGAGATGGGTGTTTCTGATGTGGGGCTTTCACTGTTCTTCTAAACGACACCATCAGCTCAAAATGCTGATAGGAGTGAAGTATTCGAATTTCTCCACGTATGACCCGTAGCTTGTTCTGTTAACCTTGATCTTGATTAGTTTTTATTGACCTTAAACCTGTCGTCGTCTGCACCTTTATTTTTATTGTATCCTCTTTTGAGCTGTTTCTTGATCTTATGTTTGTTTATGACTGTAGAATTTTTTTTGAGTGTTTTGTTTTTTGGAAAATCCCTCCATGTATATATATTTGTGTTATGATATGACTGACTCTTTCTGTTGACATTTTGGTACTCCATTTGATTCCATTTTGAGATTTTATCATTGTATATTGTTATTATTTCTATATTTTGTACTTATATTGAAGTTTTTATGTTTGCTTCTGAACTGTACATATGTTGTTTAAATTTGATATTTAATATGGCTACACCGATTTTGGATTTGATACTGTAGCCATTTGGACTGGAACCACTTATTCTTCCAGAAGCAGATACCCACCAGGTTAATTTGGACTTGGAAGGTGTAACAATTGTTGGGTAAATGTTTGTATTTCCATTTTATAATGAAAATAGGCCGATTTCTCCCAGAATTATTGTGTTTCTGCTATTGGATCCGGGACGTCGAGTGCTAACCTGCACCTTATGGAAACAAAGTGAACGGCTAGGGTAGAAAATCCATCTACAATGACTTTTCTTATTGCTTCATAAATTGGATTGATTTCGATCTGTTTGCTGATCGTTGATTGGTCTGAATGTCAAGCTCCCAAAAATCCTCTAGTGTTCTTTGTACTCTCTCTATCCAGTATTTCAACATAATTCCAACCGAATGTATGTCCATAGTTGTTCGTGTGTATAGATATGAGTGAGGAAATGTCATGGCGTTTGACTGCTAATTGATGTTCACGCAAACGAAGCTGAAGTGGGCGTCCACTTTGTGCGATGTAGTGTTTTTCACAGCATTAGCAGTTTATTTTGTAGATGATATTTAGCTTTATCATCTTTTTTCCTTTTTCCTTTGGTCTAGATAGGATTGATTGAAGTGATTCTGTTGGTTTGTGTGCTACACATAATACAAGTGGTTTCAGTGATCGTGCTGTAATTGCTGATACTTCTTTTATGTTTGATTGTACGATCTGTTTTTTGGTTCCTGTATCTGATTTCGCTTCTGTTGATGGTTTCAGTTGATAATTGTTGAAGAAGTTTCGTTAAGAGCTTTTCCTTTGGTGGATAGTTATCAGATATTTTCCTTTGTTTTGTGTGTTTCATGTGTTCTTCAGCGTCATTCTTCACTTGGACAAATTTTTTGGGCAGCTGATATTGTGTGTTGTTGAGTTGTTTCTAGTTTGGGTTGGCTTCCAAAATACTATACTTAGGCTAAGCTATCTGGCCTAAATCTTATTGTTAACTTTAACTCGAAATCTACCTCATACTGATTTACCATGGCTGTTATGGGTTTTGTGGGCTTCATGTGTTCTAATGTGCCTTTCTTATGGGAGGCGATTGATTTTATTAGTCGTAGTTTTGTTAGGGGAGTTGAGAATCGGATATCTGAGGATTTGAAGTCTTACTTTGCTGGATGTTGATCGTTCTTGTTGAGAGCCTGTTTTCTTCAGAATTGCAGAGTTTGTTTGCTCTTCTCATGAAATGCGATTAATGACATAGTCACATGGAACATTGGAGAGATTTGAAGGACTGGAAAAACCATTAAGGTTGGTTCATTAATGGAAATATACAGTCTTATGGTGCTTGCAACGGATGAAAATCATCGGAGACAGGATGAAAAAAAAGGATTAGCTTCAAGATAAATGTGGTTGTGATTCGGTCATGAAGATGGAAATGCCTAACACATTTTAAAATTTGCA